GCCACGTTCCCTTAAGGTCCCCTTTGTACTTTCACTCCCAACCTGCTTCACAACTCATTGAGACTCTGAAGCAGGGAAGTGGGATTCACACCAGGTAAGCAGCCCCAAAGCCCATGTCCTTTCTGCTTGGTCCCACTGCCTCCCAGGTGTCCCTGGGTGCTGCTTCCTGTCTGTGCCACTGTTTGGCCTCTTTCCCTGCAATGCTCCTTCCATAGCCCTTTCTCGAGGAGGCTTATTCCCCAAGGGCCTGGGTAGAAGCTCCCTGGTGGGATGGTGACAATAAAGCCAAAGGATGGTCCCCCAAATTGGAAGCCAGCCACTGTGGGGGCACTTGGAGGTGCTGTTAGCAAGGAAGCTGGCCCAGCCCCTCTGCTCTCTGCTCTGCTCTCTGCTCAAGGCCAGCTCAGCCAGAGCACCTGCTCTGCAGGAAGTAGAAGGGGACTTTGCTGGAAATCTGCCTTTAATCTTGGCTTCCTGTTTTCTGCCCTAGGGGACCGCCCAGACCTTCTGAGTTTCAAGCTATTTCACACCAGCTTCTCTAAACTGTCATCTCAGAGCAAAGAGGCTGGGGGAGGGGAAGAGGCTGGGAGGAAGAAGGTGCAGCTCTTCCCTTCTCAGGGACCCTGGGAGCACAGTCCACCCATAAGGGCACATAAGCTCTCAACTTCTGGCAACCAACCCAACTTTGCATCGAGCTAGCCCATTTGGCTCCTATCATCAAAATGCAGCCAAAAGTCCCAGCTCTGGTCCCATTCCCCACATCCAGCCTTTCTGCAGCAGCCTCTCTCCTCTTTTCAGTATCCCCTGGCCTGGGGACAGGCCTCACCACACCAGGGACAAGCATCCCAGCCTTGGAAAACTAGTGTTTAGCTTCCAACGCTGAATGCTCCCTTGGCATCTATATGTTTCACAGGCGTTTCAAAATCAGTTTCTCCAAAACCAAAACCAAGCTTTTTTTTGAGACAGGATCTTGCTCTGTTGCCCAGGCTGGAGTGCAGTGGTGCGATCATAGCTCACTCACTGCAGCCTCAAATGTCTGGGCTCAAGCAGCCTCAGACTTCCTCCCACCTCAGCCTCCTGAGTAGCTGGGACTACAGGCATGTGTCACCAAGCCCCACTGATTTATTTTTCTTTTGCTAGAAACGGGGTCTCCCTATGTTGCCCAGGCTGGTCTTGAACTGCTGGGTGCAAGAGACTCTCCTGCCTTGGTCTCCCAAAGTGCTGGGATTATAGGCATCAGCCATGGTGCCTGGCCCAAAACCAAACTCTTGAGTGTTCCCCCAGCTCATTGTCCCTCTCCCACCTCACCCCAGGTGCTCCAGCCACACCTGAGGAGTCATGCCTGATTTCTTCGGTGGCCTCACTTCCCACAAACACCCCTCATGGAGAGCTGTCGTGGGCACTCCCCTTTGTCCAGCCACTGCTCCACCCATTGCTCCCACCAGGGTCCATGCCCATAATCCCTGGTCTGGACTGTGCAGGGCCTCTTCACTGGCGTTCTGACCTTCACTCTTTTTGTTTTTTTTAAGACAGAGTCTCACTCTGTTGCCCAGGCTAGAGTGAGTGCCGTGGCGTCAGCCTAGCTCACAGCAACCTCCAACTCCTGGGCTCAAGCAATCCTCCTGCCTCAGCCTCCCAAGTAGCTGGGACTACAGGCATGTGCCACCATGCCTGGCTAATTTTTCTATATATTTTTTGTTGGCCAATTAATTTCTTTCTATTTTTAGTAGAGATGGGGGTCTCACTCTTGCTCAGGCTGGTTTTGAACTCCTGACCTTGAGCGATCCTCCCGCCTCGGCCTCCCAGAGTGCTAGGATTACAGGCATGAGCCACCGCGCCCAGCCTCGACCTTCACTCTTAATCATGTCACTCCCCTGCTTAAAATCTTTCAGTGGCTCCCCGTTGCTCATATAATAAAATCCAAACTCTTGTAATAAAATCTCTGGCCTACAACAGCCCGTAGGATCTGGACCGTTCCTCTCATACCACTCTGCCCTGCTTGCTAGTGTCTTCACCTTGGCCTTCTGGCTGTCCCTTGACCCATTGAGCCCTTCTGTGCCTCAGGGTCTTTAACCATCCTGTCCCCTCTGTCTGGAACACATTCTCCCACTTCTCCATCACTGGCTCAGTCCCTTCTGGGGTCTGGAAGCTGAGATCTGTCTTCCCCAAGGCCTCTCATCCATGGGGTGCTCACTGCCTTCATTCCAGTGTCTGATTTACTTAGGCAGTCTTGCTCACTCCTTCATCTCTGGCCTCTTTCATCTCTGGAGCAATGCCTAGCACTTAGTAGGTGCTCAATAAGTATTTGCTGAGTGAATGAATTATGAGGTTGAATTATGAAGTTAATTGGCTCTTCCACTAGAGCATAGGTCTGTGGGTGACCCCCTTATTGGTTTTATCCCCAGTGCCTGGGCTTCAGGAAGGTTAAAAAGTTTATTTCACTCTGCTGTGAAGAGGTGGAGCCAGGATTCAAATCCAAGTCTATTTGACTTCAAAGTTCACACCCTGGGCCACAGCACACCCAGGGAAAAAAAGTCAAGTGTGTTTGGGGGTAAAAGAGGCTGGGCTGGTGAAAAACTGAAACAGAAATTAGAGTGGTTTCCCCAAATCCCCAGTCCTTTCTTTCCCATTCTGCCAGCTGATTCGGCCAGGGGAGGGGAGAAGTCAATTTCTTCTTCCAGAAGCCTTTGCAGAGCTGCAGAAGTGCGGTGTTTTGGCTGAGAGGTGGCCCCCCATCTGGCCCCATATTATCATTCCATCTTGACCTCAGAGGAAAGAAAGGGAAACCAACTATGCTGAGCACCCTTTCCACCCTCTCACCCCGGCCGTTATCTTGCTGAATCTGCACCATCTCTCATGAGAGAAGTATATTCTGAGCCTGATCTTACAGAAGAGGAAACCAAGCTCAGAGACCTTAAGTAACTAGCCTAAGGTCACACAGCTAGTAAGTGTCCCAGCTGAGATTTAACTCTGAGATGTGGACCCCAAATCTATGCATTTTTTCCATTACATCACACTTACCTCTGAGACTTACTGGATGTGTCCTCAGGGGCATCCTTCCCCAAAGGGTTGGCTCCAGCTGGGAAGGTGCCCCAGGAGTCCACTGGGACAGGGGCCAACCTGTAGTTTTTCAGGAGCAGAGGGCATACTCAATTCCTGGCATTCGAGGCTCTTTACAATCTGTGGGTACACTGTCTCCCCGCTGTCTCCCACAGGGCCCTTTACTCTCCCTGTCACTCCCTTGGGCCCCTGCATACTTATTTTGTGTTCTAAGACTTTGCCAGCATGTCTCACTTCCCCCTCCCTTCTGTCCACCTCAGCCTGACCCTTCAACTCCTACCTACGCTGGAGACTCTAGTCTCCTCCTCACCACTGCACCCCTTTCTGTGCCCCCATGCCTGAGCACAATGCCCACTCTGGAAGCTCAGAGCAGATCATCTCTTTGCTCCTCATTAACAATGATATAATAACAGCCTGTGCTTAACTAAGGGCTCACCACATGCCAGCCACTGCACACCAAGCACTCGAAACCTATTAACTCATTTCCTCCCCACAAAACCTTAAGAAGTTGGTGCTATTATATTCCCCATTTTGCCAAACGGGGAAACTAAAGCACAGAGAAGTTGGGTAACTTGCCCAAGGTCACAGATCTGACAACTTCATTGTTGCCTCCAGGCAGAAAATAAACTCCAAGAAACACCCACGGGGCTCTTTGGGGCTCTCTTGCCCCCCGGGCTTGCAGGAACCCACCTCCCACCACTCTCCCCCATCCGCACTGCCAGCTGCAGCCTGCTGAGCTATTTATAGATCCCAGAAGCCACCAAGCCTCTCAGACTCCCTCCCTTTGTGCATGCTGTCCCCTCTGCCTGGGTCCCAGCCCTGTGAAGCCTCCCCGTTAGCCCTCCCTTCTTTTCTGCTTCCTGTGACTTGTGCACCACCTCACCACTGCTATCACTTGTTCCTCTGCGACTGCCTGCGGGCCTGTCAGTCTACCCGCACCCGACTGAGAACTCCTGGACAGTGACGAGGTGGTCTTGCTAGTGCACCCCGAGCAGGGCCGCCGTGTCCTCAGCACCGGGAAACGTTTGCGAATGAATGAATGGATGAATGCTTATGGCTGCGAGAGAGGCCACGCGCCACCAGCAGCGCTGAGGAGAGGGCCCAGGCCCGGCCTCCGTCGCTCCTACAGCGGGGCAGCTGCGCCCACAGAAAGCCGGGCGGGAGCCCCAAGTCGGCCGGTCGCCCGCCGGGAGGGACCGCGGAGCCGGGCACGCGGGCGGGGCAGGGCGAGGGCGCGGACACACCCCCGCGGTGCCCGGGCCAGCCAGGGCGCGCCGCGGCCGCCGCCGCGCGCCGGGCAGGCCCCTCGCGCAGGCGCGCTGCGCGGGCGGAGGATCCGGGCGGGCTTCCTCTCCAGGCCTGCGACTTCCTCCCGCGCGGAGCCCGGGCGAGCCGAGTTGGCTGCGCGCCGAGCCGCCCGCCCGCCGCCGCCCACCGGCCTGCGCCGGGCCTGCCCGGGGGGGGGGCGGGTTCCGGCGGGCGACCGCGGGCCGCGCCGCCGCCGGCCAGTCCGGCCGCGCCGCCCTCCGCCTCCGCGTGGCCGCCGGAGCCTCCGGGCGTGGAGCGCGGGGCCCCGCAGCCCGGGTCGAGCGTCCGGGCGGCCCCTGGCAGCCGGCGCGGCGTTCCAGAGTCGAGCCCCGCTGGCGGCGGTTCGGAAGCGGAACTCTGCCGGGGCCGCGCCGGCTACATTGTTTCCTCCCCGACTCCCGCCCGCCCCTTCCCCCGCCTTTCTTCCCTCCCGACCCGGGCGCGCGGCCGTGCCTGCTGTCGGCCGGCCCTCCTCCCCTCTCCGCACCGCCCTCTCGGGGCGCACCCCGGGGACCCTGCGCCCCCACCCCGGCCGCATGGACCGTCCCGCAGGCCGCTGATGCCGCCCGCGGCGAGGTGGCCCGGACCGCAGCGCCACGAGAGGGGTGAGTGCCTGGCAGCCTCGGAGGAGGCGGGCGTCCGAGTGCCTCCTGAAGGGGAGGGGGTGGAGGTCGCATGTCCAGCCTCCGTTGCCGCCGCTGTCGCGTCCACTCCCATCCCCCACCTCGTTTACGCCCTCCTCCTCAAGTTCGAATTCTCCCAGGAGCCACTGTCAGACCTGAGGAGAAGGGCGCGCACGAGGGAGGTGCTCAGGTCATCCCGGGTCCTCCCCGTGGGGAGCATGGAGTAGGGGTGGCGGGAGGAGGAGGATCAGCAGGGGCTAGGGCGCTGGAGAGTCGCCTGGACTCGTGGGAATTTGCCCTTCCCTGCCCAGGGCCTCCCTGCAGATGCCCTGGCCTGCTTGGTTCTGACCCCTCCCTCCTTCCCCCACCGAGGCCCCTCTGGCTGCAGGCAAACCCAGGGCCCTGCTAAAAGCCCAGGTCCTGGGCCTGAGCCTGTCACCCCAGCACTCCTGGAAGAGCAAGCCTAAGCCAAGGGACCTCTGACCCTTGGATGGGAAACTGGGCAGGGGTTTGAACCTGGGTGAAGGTGACCCTGGGAATTAGCACCATGCTCCCACCTCCCAGCACGCTGGTCAGCGGGTTAGCACCGTTCTCCCAGGCTCCTCAGGGCTCAGGCCAGGTGTCAGGAAGGGGTGTGTCTGGCCACCAGATCTTTGGAGCTTAACTAGGGGTTCACTTCCCCGCCTATTTTGTGGACTAGGGAACTGAGGCTCAAAGGGGGGCATCACTACCCCGGGCCTCTGGTAGAGGTAGGCCAGCTGGCTGTCCTTTCATCCCCAGCTCTGCAGAGCTGGACTGCTGTGAGTGGAGGAAAACTAGGCAAGTGCCTTCACCCAGCAGGGATACAGGCTCCCAGCCTGGCCCAGGAGGGACACTGGGGTGAGCACGTGCTCCCCTGCAGAGGGCTGGAGGGAGGGAAAGGCTTCCAGCGCATCTCTGCCCCTCAGGCGGCATAGGCATTGCCCATGAGATTTTCCCTTGGTGCCTGAGGCAGGGCCCAGGAGCAGGGGATGTGGCAGTGTGTGGCACGGGGGTGGCTGTGTGGTGTGGCAGGAAGGCCTGGTCCTGGCCCCTGGCACTGAGTTGAAACAGCCTGATGGTCAGTCCTAACTCAGCCCTCCCCACACCTGTGGCTCAGCTGGCACAGGGGCAGCCAAGTTCAGAATATAAGTGGGATCAGGACGGGCAAGGTGGGAGCCCTGTCTCCATTGGCAGCACCCTACAGCCTTGGCATGGGAGCAGTATCAGATGGGGGACACCCAAGGGGCCTATTTCAGGCTCCTAGTGCCTTATGAGTGTGGTCACAGCAGGAACAGGGCAAAGGCAGCAGGGCTGAGACTGGGAGGGTCGTCTTACTCCCAGGAGAGCAGGCAGTTCCCTGGAGGATTCTGAGCCACGTCTGGGCCCCCTTGGAGCTGCTGGCAGTTTCATTCTCCTCGGCCCCATCCTTGATTTAAGATTTTTTTTCTGGTTGATGTGACATGCACAAGGAAGAGGACCCAGGTGTCCTGGCCCTGTGAGGCTCCCCTCACATAGCCCCACACCCAGCCCTAACTTCCTTCCAGTCTAAGGGGTGGGACTGGGGCCTGGCACGGTTGGTTGCTTTTTTACCAACTGAGCTGTGAGGGCACACACAGGGTCCCGGGCCTTTGTAGAAAGGAGTCTGGCTTCTGGCTAGCACGAGTGCAGGGGTGTGGTTTTTCTTATTTGGCGAGTTTGGTGCCATCCTCCCTCTCAGAAGTGGGTGTTCTCTGTGCACTGGGTCAGGGGCCAGGAAAGACCAGGAAATGTTCCCCTTCACCATTGCAGGGACACCAGACCCCAAAAGGCAGAGCCACACAGAGTAGCCCATGGAAAGGGGACAGAATTCAGCTTTCCCCAGACAAGTATAGGCAGGGGCTGAGGGCCCCGATCCACAGTGTGACGTGGCTGCCCTCAAAGGGGCAGCACTGCCCAGGTCAGTTCTGGGCTCCATCTTTTGAGGGATTTTGAGGCCTCAACATATGGGCCCCAAAGAACAGAGGGGTTGCATTTGGGAAAGAGATGGTAGAGATTCTCAGATGTGTGAGCGACTGTCCTGTATGGGAAAGGCCATCCCAATGGCAGAAGTGTCCCAGACATCTGGGCTAGAGCTGGTAAGCCGCTCAGTCCCAGGGAAGCGAATCTGAGCTCATTGTAAGGAAACTGTGTATGTACTAATTTTCTTGATTTAGAAAATAACAGAACAGCACTCTAGAAAATTTAGAAAATGAAACAAAAATCACCCACTATTTCTTTGGTAAGCAGTGACTGTGTTAGCATTTTGGAGTTCCCTGCCAGTCTTTTCTGATTTTTTTCCTTCCTGGCTGTTAGCGTGTGAGCTTGCCTGCCATGACACCTTTTTCATTGAAGCCTGTGTCCGTGGGCATTTGCTTACGGTGCTCCACAACCTAGGTGACTTTGCCTCTAGAAAACCATAGACTATTCCAAGCGGCGCTGCCTCAGCCCTCACCTGTACCCTTCACTACGGGTGTGCATCGTCTCCCCTCTGTCATTGTGGTTGTTACTATGGGCCCCAAAAGCAGCTGGGGTGTTGCAGAGACAGGTAACTTGGCACCTGACCGATACAAGTTCCAGGCTCAGCCATGCCACTTAGGCCAGGGGTGGAGGGACCTCGGACAAGTCACTGACCTTCTGAGCCTCCTATGTATAAATAACAGGATGGTGATTTCCTTCAGAGGCAGGTGTGAAAGTGCCTGGCACAACCCCTCTCCTGCGCTTACCCTTTATAATAGGGTTGGCACTGTTGAAGGAATGCCCACTGCGGGCTGCTTCGACATGTGGCGAAGACTTCTGAGCCATGAGCCGAGGTCGGCTGACCACTTACCCAGCAGAGAGATGGTCCCTGTTGAGGGAGCCCCTCTGAAACCCTCTGTCCTTGAGGTTCTGGGCTACTGTGGCCAGTGCCCTGCCCAGCCTCCCTGCCGTCCCTTCTCCTTATCGCCACGTGATTGGTTGGCCCAGAGCATGGGGCTGGCCCTGGGAATATGGGCTGCTGGTTGCTGTCCTGACCCCACCCATTCCTCTTCCGGTCTCCCAGCATCAGAGCTAAGTAGACAAGGCCTCTTCTCTGAGAGCCCAGCTGCCTCCCGCCTCCCAGCTTAGTCTAGGCCAGCCCAGCCCAGCATTTCCCCAGTGGAAATAGAGGCCTCCTTAGCCTGCCACTTGGGCAGGGAACCCAGGCATCCTAGGGACAGCCATGCAAGCCACATACTCCCACCCTTTCCCAGTAGCCAATGAAGGGAAGAAAGCTGGGGGAGAAGGATTCTAGAGCCTTAGAGCCTCCCAGCTGGGAGTTAGAAGGGAACATAAAGGGTCCACAGAGTCACTGGGGAACTCTTGTGTGTTAGCACCCTCCTCCTTGGCAGGCATTCCCCAGGCCTAACCTGAGTGTGCACTGCTGTGACACGCCTTGCTTGCTCTTGTTACACGTCTGTGGAAACCAGAATAACTGGGAGTACCCTCCTGGAGCCACCCCTCGGGCAGTCAGAGGAAACCAGTCTCAGCTGGGCACCCGCTGGGCCTATGAGACCATAGCCCCAGATGACACTAGGGCGGCCCAAGACCAGCCTAGGCTGGGGGTCCTCCCCCCAGCTGGTCCATTCATTATAGAGGTCCCACAGGCATGTGACCTCAGACTCTGGCTGCCAGACTGTTGCCTATGGAGTGTCTCCTTCCTCCCTGGTCTTGGTGCAGGGGAAGTAGGCATTACAACTGCCCTCCTGTCCACAGCTTGGGCTGGGATGAGGTCACAGGGTGGAGTCCTCCCCAAGTTGCTGGCCTGGCTCTGGCGAGCACTTTGGGTGTTTCTCAGTTCCCCCCACCCTTAGCTGGGGACAAGATGGGTGGAGGAGCAGGCCACCCCCAAGCACGGCAGGGAGCACTGCCTCTCTTCCTCCCTTCCTCCTTCCCTCTGGGTCCCTTCATCCAGGGGCTGGAAATAGAATCTGCTAAGTAATGATTAAAGTCAAATTCAGACCTAAAAATAAAGAGCTGGGGAAGGAAGAGCTGGTGCTCCCGTTGTGGCTGAGGGGAGAAGCAAGCAGGGAGAGGCTGGTTTCATGTGGCTGAGCCCCTGTTTCCCGGTATCAGGGGTGCTCCACCAACTGAGGGGTGCTCTTTTGTCAGGCCTGATGTGGCCCACAGTGCTCATTAGTTATAAACTGCACTGATCAGGGCAGACTGGCAGGACCTGATAGAGAATCCCATTTTTCCACTGGAGAAACTGAGGCTCAAAAGGGAGAAGTGGTTTGTCCAGCAGCTATCTGGGAGCTTCCCTTAGCAGGCCCCTAGGGACTGGAGGGCCCCTGCAGCTCAGCCCGCCCTTTCTGCCTGCTCGGTTTCTCTTCCTGGTTTTGAGGTGCTGTGATGAGGGCAGCTTCTCATCACACACTAGCTGCGCACACCCTCCAACCGCAGCTTCCCTCCGCCTCCCCTTCCGTGGTCTGGGCCCAGAGTCGAAGGAACAAGCAGAAAAGAGGCTGCTTGGCCTGTTGGAAGCCTTAAGGATGGGTGAAAACCTAGTGTCCTCTGACCCCTGTCCACGCTGGCTGCTGCTTCTCAGCCCTGGTCAGTGGGCACCTGGTCCTTACTCAGCCTGGTCAGTGGGCACCTGGTCCTTACTCAGCCTGGTGCGTCTGCGGCCTCTGCTGCCAGGCTGCAGGGAGACAGGAGGGGAGGATGAAGAACAAACCCTGAGAGCTCCCCTGCTGGCCAGTGGAGGAGGCTTAGGGGAGGCCTGTGGTTCCAACTTCCTGATGGGGCTGCTGGGGATCTGTGTGGGCTGGAGCATCCCAGAGGGCTTCCCGGAGGGGAGGGACCTGTGAAACTCAAGCGACATTTGGAGAAAAGTCATGTTGAGGGTGAGGTTCTTTGGAGCTTCTACCCTCTCTGGGGCCTGCTAGCTGTTGCCGTGTGGCCCTGGACAAGCTCTTGGCCTCTGTGTGTGAGGCCAGGGTGTGCAGGCGAGTAAGAAATGGACACAGATGTGCCTCTGCTTCCGGAACAGAAGAGCCAAGCTCTGGGCAGACCCATCAGTGTCCCCGTCCGTCCACTTTCAGGGGTCATCTGTCTGCCTAAGGAAGGGTTGAAAGAAAGGTCTCCTGACCAATGTTCAGACAAATCTTTGCGCTCAAGTCCCCATTCTGCCCTGTTGGAAGCTGGGGGACCCCCTCAGAGCTTGTTTCCTCCTCTGTCAGAGATCAGCAGTACTTGCCTCATGGGGTGTTTTGAGGATTAAATAATGCTGGGCCCCAGACTGAGTTCTGTCAGCAGGCTCTAATTTCTGTGCTTTTGTGGGGTTTTTTTGACAGCCCATCCTGGTGGGGGAGTGTGTTGCTAACGCCCCCTTGTCCCCACGTGGGTAGCGAGCCTGTCTGTCCTTGTGTTGGCCCTATAGCTTTACCCTCTGAGCTGTGTGTTCCACAGGTCCCAGTTCTGAGTGGGGAGACCAGAAATCTGAGGTCAAAGTTCTAGGCAGCTCATGGGCCTCAGCCCTCGTCTCCCCACCTATGACGTGACTAGGAGACTTTGGGGTAAGGGACAAGGACACTTCATGACTTTCAAGAGGTTGTTAGAGGTTAGTGCTGAGAGGCCATATGTAAATGCAGGCAAATGAAGATGCAAAGAGGGGGCTAGGGGAGCAGAGGCCTGGGTTAGGGCCCTGGGGAGCCCTGAGTCCCCATTGCCCAGTGCAGGTAGGTAATTAGGCTCCTGAGCGGTAATTAGAAACCTTTCTGGGCCAGGAGAGACAGCCTCAAGCTGCAGCAGTGCCCCAGTGCCCGAGGAGTCTCCCCGGTAGCCTGCTCTAGCCCCAGCCCCCACCTCTCTCAAACCACTGGATGGGATTTCCGGTCCCACTGAGCCATGGGGGCAGGCTCAGTGAGTTGCTGTAATTTAGTTTTTAACATTGTTCAGCCATTATACCTGGCCCTCCCCCTAGATCAGGGGTGCTGAGGGCTGGAAGGAGCCCCGGGTGGAGTAGGGCAGCATACACTGGAGCCAGGCATTCTTCTAACCCTTCCTGGGACATCTGTGCAGTAGGGGTGCTGAGGGCTCACCTGCCCGGCCCCAGCGTCAGTGGGAGCCCTCCAGCCCAGTGTGTGGCTGGGGTGTCACAGACTGTCAGCCTGGGTGCCCTCTGCAAAACCAGGGTGGGGCTGGTTTTATTGCTGCCAAGCCAGCCCAACTGCGGGTGCATGCGTGCCGGGCCTCCCTAGGCGCCCTGCCCTTTTGGAGGGGCGTGCCCAATTCTGAAACTTATTTCTGCCCTCATCTGTACTATGACCTGGAGGCTGGGCTCAGAGCCTCCCTTGGCCTTCTTCAGCCTTAATTAACTCCCTCTGTGCCACAGTTCGGACTATTAATCCTGGCCTGCTCCAGCACACCCTTTTCCCAGGTATTTCCCCCCCGAAATCCTTCCAGCTCTGGTTCTCCTGCGCCTTCTTCCTGGAAGCCTTCCCAGGTGGCCCCATCTCCATCTCTTGAGGTCCTGAGCACACCAAGCCATGACTGACCATCCAGTAGCCAGAAGGACAGAAACCAGGTCTGCATTTTGTTGGGGTCCCCAGCACCTGGCCCTGGGCTAGGCACAGAGGAGAGGCTGATGAGTAGAGATCTTGGGTCCCCAAGGGCAGAACCTTCTAGGGCAGGGGTCCTCAAACTTTTTAAACAGGGAGCCAGTTCACTGCCCCTCAGACCATTGGAGGGCCAGACTGTAGTTAAAAGAAAAAAACTGTGAACAAATTCCTATGCACACCACACATATCTTATTTTGAAGTAAAAAAACAAACAGGCAAAAACACCTGTGTGTGACCCGCGGACTGTAGTTTGAGGACGCCTGTAATCTAGGGCCTACCCTCATGTCCACCCTGGCCCGCCAAGCATGTCACCGGGCACACACAAAGGCTCCCAAAACAATGGCTCAAAGAACGAGAAGGCAGGATGGACCTAGCTGTTGCCTGTTGCTTCCAGTGGCTGCCACCAGAGGATCTAGCTGGGTCCTGTGGCAGGGCCAGAGTCTCTGGGGGCCATGGCCCCAAGTTCCCCCAGGTCTCTTGTGCACTTCCCTTTTCAGTGGGTATTTTTAGCTGGGTGTAAACAGTCACTGAACACTCCCACGCTCCATTAGACAGAAGAGTTTTGGTGAGGGGGGCAGGGCAAGAAGCCCCTTGACCTTGCCTGGCCCTTAGCACCTGCCTGGCTTTTGGAGGTCTACAGCTGTCTCCAGGGCAGGGAAACGTCAGCCTGAGAGTTTCTGGGCTCCCATTCCCCTTCATCACCCCTCCTTACCAGCCTGGGCTCCCAAGAAAGGCCTGCCTGAGGCTGCAGCCACTGACCTCAGTGCGTGGGCACAATGCCAGCCTGTTCCTGGGACCCCAGCACAAGGGCTGCTGGAAGCAGGGTTTGGGGCAGGAAGTCAGAATGGAGCACTGGTCCTGCCATATCCCAAGCCCCTATCCCCTAGCCCTGTGGGGGTAGGGTGACAGCTGCAGTCCCTTTGGGGTTAAATATAGTCTTAGTTATGGGACCTCAGTGTGGCACAGCCAGCCTGGCTTCCCCTTTGTGCGTTCATTCATTCGTTCATTCAGCACTTGCTTACTGCGCGGCCACTCTGGGCCCAGCCCATGCTGGGGACGCAGTGTGAGTCAGACCCTAGCTTTCCCCTGCAGAGCCCCCAGTCCACCCTAAACCACAGGCCACAGCCAGTGAGATTTCAGTGGAGCACAGGGGTGTGTGGGGCGCGGCAGGGCCAGGGTGGGGCCAGCAGCACAGCTGGGGACCCAAGAAAGTCTCCTGGCAAAGATGATTTACAAAAAGTTACTTATTTTCAATTTTATTTTTAGGGGGAAGGTAATAGATGCATGTGGTCAAAAAAAAAAAAAATTCCAAAAGGACAAAACAGCAAATACACAGTAAAGTTTCCCTTGAACTTGATCCCTTCCCATCCTAGAGGCAACCTCTGTTATTAGTTTCCTCTGTTGTTCCAAAGATAATCTAGGTATGTTTGAGTTTAGGGAATATATTGTATGTCTTTAAAAACACAAATTGTGGCCAGGCGCAGTGGCTCATGCCTGTAATCCTAGCACTCTGGGAGGCCGAGGCAGGAGGATCACTTGAGGTCAGGAGTTCGAAACCAGCCTGAGCAAGAGCGAGACTCCGTCTCTACTAAAAATAGAAAGAAATTAATTGGCCAACTAATATATATATATATACACACACATATATATATAATTAGCTGGGGATGGTGGCGCAGCTACTTGGGAGGCTGAGGCAGCAGAATTGCTTGAGCCCAAGAGTTTGAGGTTGCTGTGAGCTAGGCTGACGCCACGGCACTCACTCTAGCCTGGGCAACAAAGCGAGACTCTTGTCTCAAAAAAAAAACACAACTTGTATACCAAGGCAGGAGGATATGTCAAGGTCAGAAGTTTGAGATCAGCCTAAACAAGAGTGAGACCCCCATCTCTACTAAAAAAGAAAAAGAAAAACTTAGCCAGACAACTGAAAACAGAAAAAATTAGCCGGCATGGTGGTGCATGCCTGTAGTCCCAGCTACTCAGGAGGCTGAGGCAGGAGGATCCATGAGCCAAGGAGTGTGAGGTTGCTGTGAGCTAGGCTGACACCACTGCACTCTAGTCCAAGCAAAAGAGCAAGGCTGTGTCTCAAAAAAAAAAAAAACGAAAACACCACAACTGTAGTATCCATAGATGATCTACACCTGGCTTTTTTCACAGCCTTTTATTGTGAGTGTTTGAACCTACCAAAAAGTTGTAATAATATATAATGAATATTCATACATCCTTCACCCAGTTACCAGTTCTTAAGATTTTTGCCACGTTTACTTTACCTCTTTTTTATCTACACAAACTATGTGTGCATGTATTTTTTGCTAGTCTGAGTGTAGTTGTAAGCATCATATCTTTCACTCCCAAGAATGTTAGCATGTGTCTCTAATCTTAGTACCATGATCACCCTTAAGAAAACTGACTTGTTTTGAGACAGTCTCACTCTGTTGCCAGGCTAGAGTTGCCATGTTCAGCCTAGCTCATAGCAACCGCAGACTCCTGGGCTCAACTGATCCTCCTGCCTCAGCCTCCCAAGGAGCTGGGCCTAAAGGCATGCACCACCATGCCTGGCTAATTGTTTCTCTATAAATTTTGGTTGTTCAGCTAATTTCTTCTTTTTCTTTTCTTTTCTTTTTTTTTTTTTTTTTTTTAGTGAGACAGGGTTTCGTTCTTGCTCAGGCTGGTCTCAAACTCCTAACCTTGAGTGATCTTCCTGCCTCGGCCTCCCAGAGTGCTAGGATTACAGGCATGAGCCGCCATGCCTGGACAAGAAATTTGACTTTAAATCCATAATATTACCTATTATTTTCATTTTCTCAGTTGTTTCCAAATGGTTCTGTCACTGGGTTTCCCCCCCCCCATCCAGAATCCCATTCAGGATTTTCATTGAATCTTGTCATGTTTCTTAGTCCTATTTAATCTCGAACATTCTCCAGGCTTTTTATTTTTGTGGGTTTTTTGTTTGTTTTTTTATGACAGTGACGTTAAGAATCTGTGCCAGCTTGTTTGTTTTGTTTTGTGCCAGTTGTTTTGTATTTGTCTGATTGCTTCTTCCTGGTTGGAGTCAGGTTAAACAGCTCTGGCAGGACTACCACACAGGTGGCGCCCTGTCCTCCTCAGTACCTTATAGCAGGAGGCACTTAGGGCTGCCCGCTGGTGAGGCCTAATTTGGTCACTTGGCTGAGGAGGTGTTCACCCAATCTCCCTGTGGTACAGGGACCCTTTCCTCTTTTTAATTATTTATTTATTTATTTTTTGAGACAGTCTCACTCTGTTGTCCCGGCTAGATTGCAATGGCATCATCACAGCTCACAGCAACTTCAAACTCCTGGGCTCAAGTGATCCTCCTTCCTCAGCTTCCCGAGTATCTGGGACTACAGGCATGCACCACCATGCCAGGGTAATTTTTTGTATATATATTTTTAGTTGGTCAATTAATTTATTTCTATTTTTAGTAAAGACGGGGTCTCACTCAGGCTGGTTTCGAACTCCTGACCTTGAGGGATCCTCCTACCTTGGCCTCCCAGAGTGCTAGGATTATAGGCGTGAGCCACCGCGCCTGGCCTCTGCTGTGGTTTTTAAGGCATGTGTGCAGCAGAAGTGGTTCCTTAGCTGCCCCCCCCAAGACCGAGTGGAAGTTCCTTGGGTGGAGAACGGGGAGAGAGCAGGGGAGGTGATGGCAAGGCAGGGAGATGGGCAAGGCACAGGTGTCCTGGGAACAGCAGGTGGGAACAGGCCTGGCTGGCGTGCTGGAAGTCAACAAATCCCAGAAATGTTAAGTGACCTTCCCAAGGTCACAAGGCGAGTTGGTGGCAGAGCCGCGCACAGGACTCAGAGCCCCGACGCCCAGGACAGTGTTCCCGCAGCGCTCCGTAGCCTGGCCTGGCCTCACGTTCGGAGGACCTGGGGAGGACCCCTCTGCCTGGCTCAGGCTGCATCGTGGAGGCCCAAGTTCGCAGTAGCCCTTCCAGTCACTCACTGTGGGCCTCTGACCTGGCAGGGAGGGTATGTCCTCCTGGGGATGTCGGAAAGAGGGGCTCCAGTCTAGGTGCTGGCTGGGAGGCTGCTGAGCCATCATGGGCTTGTGACCTCAGCAGGGAGGAGCTGTCCAAGAGGTCAACAGCGCCAGCTTGCAGGGTTTCTGTGGGCAGCGTTCCTGGGGCTGAGAGCTGCAACTCCAGTGCTCAGGGCAGCCCTCAGAGCCGAGAGTTATCGCCAACCCATTGCACAAGTGGGGGAGCTGGGGCCCAAGGTCATTGCCAGTAGAGTACAGGTGATGAGTCTAACTCCTCTCTCCACTTTCCGGATCCTCTGAGGCCATCAAAGGCTGGCTCCTTGAGGCAGTCTTCTCTGACCACTCTTGGTCCTGTCCCTTCTGAGCTATGCCATCTGTGCCCCTCATGGCTGCTTCTCTCCCCTCCTTCCTCTTTCTCTCTTTCTCACTGTCTGCTGGGCTGGTGTGGTCCCAGCCGTATAGCAGCTGCGGGGCACTAAGTGCCCAGGAGGCACCAGGGGTGAGGGAGGACTGTCTGAGTAGCCCAGGAGCCTGACACCTGAGCAGCCCTGGATGCTCATTGAGATGTGACCCTAGGTGAGGCCGCCTTTCCCCTCTGGGCCTCATTTGGGGTCCTTGTCTGCAAAATGGGGATAATGATAGCCCCTCTGTCTCTCAGAGTTGTTACAGGGTTTAATGAGCCTTAATGTGCCAAGGACAGGGCCTGGTATGGAACAAGTGCCCAGGAAACAGGGTCTGGTATTATTTTTATTATCACTATCACGGCAGTGGGGAGGCGGGCAGGCCAGGAGGGAGTGTTTGCAAACTGACAGCTGGAAGGGTGACTAACATGCTGCAGCCTCCGCGCCCTCCTGTGGCGGCAGCGAGTTTGGAAGGAGGGGGAGGCGTGGGGTGTGGAGCTAGCAGGGCTCTACTCAGAGGGGCCTGGCCAACCACAGTGGGACCCCAGTTTAAGCTCTGGGCTGTCACCTCCTCGCTAGCTGTGTGACATCAGGCAAGTCGTCCAACCACGGGAGCCTTGGTCTCTTCTGCTATAAAATAGGCGCAACAGGAGTTCACAGGCCCCGCCATGGCGTGCGGTTCTCGGAGGCGCTGGGGTGGTTCCCCGACTCACGGTGGCTCAGTCTCGTGAATGTTGAGGGGAGGTTTCCAGGCTCATCTTCCTTGGGCCTCATTGTCCCTGCCTAGACCATGAGGGTTGATGGGCTGGCCTCGGGACAGGGAGGGGCACACCAGACACTTCCAGGTTCGGGGTTTCATTCCATCCTCCATGGCTACTTGTAGGGAATCCCTGTCCCCCTTTCAGGGTGAGGAATGGGTTGAGTCACACCCCAGGTTGAACACTTAGCAGACCCAGGCGTTAAGCCCAGGTCTGCCTGGCTGTAGAACCACGTGTGAGGTCTGGAAGTGGCGGTTTTCCCGGCCTCCCCTCCCCAGCTCCTTCTGCTCTCTCAGATCACACGCTCTCCCCCGATGAAGCCCTGGGCCCCAGAATGAAACCCTGATTCCTCACACTGGCACCAGAAGCCCCTGCTGCCTGCCCGGCTGCTGCCAGGCCCGCTTGCAGCCATCTCCTGAGCAAGGTGCTCAGGGTGGGCTCTGGAGCCCCAGCGGGGCAGAGTCTGTGCCCCCCCTTCCCTCCGTTTCTCACGCTGCGCCTGTCTCCTGCCCCAACACCTCTGCTCAGGCTGCCGTACCAAGCTGCGGGCTTCCCTGGCCCACCTCTGCCTTCCTGCGCCCTCAGTGTTCAGGGCTCAGCCCAGCACTGCATCTGGCAGGCCTGCCCGAGCTCTGCAGGCCTTGCTCACTTCACAGCCCCGGCACCTGCACGTACAGTGTCTTCTCCCACTGCCTGGCCGTGGGGAGGGGAGGGCGGCGTTGTGTGTGACCATCAGCCTGGCCCCAGACATCCATCCTGTCAAATGAGCCTGGTCGTGAGGCTCGTAGAGGAGCTTCTCTCCTAACATACTGTGGCCACGGAGAAGCCACTGGCCCTGTTGAGGCCTCTGTTCCCTACCTGTAGAAAGGAACAGTAACCCTCTGCTTCCTGAGACAGGTCCAGGGGCTCTGGGGGCTGGTGCTATAGTGTGTGTGCAGACAAGGTTGTGTTGCTGCTCTTGGGTCATGGGGTTGGCTGGGATGGCTTTTATGGGGAGTCGTATTTATTGAGATAAATACATAGTTGACCCTTGAACAATGCACTCAGAAATCCACATATAACTTTTGAATCCCAAAATCTTAACCATTAATAATCTGTTGACTCAAAGCCTTACCAATAACATAAACAGTTGATCAATACATACTTTGTATGTTATATGTATTATATACTGTATTCTTATAATAAAGTAAGCTGGAGAAAAGAAAATCATAACAACTGGGTGTGGTGGCTCACACCTGTAATCTTAGCACTCTGGAAGGCCAAAGTGAGCAGATGGCTTGAGCTCAGGAGTTTGAGACCAGCCTGAGCAAGAGCAAGACCCCTGTCTCTACCAAAAATAGAAAAAAAATTAGCCAGGTGTGGCAGCTCGCACCTATAGTCCCAGTTACTTGGGAGACTGAGGCAAGATGATAGCTTGAGTCCAGGAGTTTGAGGTTGCAGTGAGCTATTATGATGCCACTGCACTCCACCCAGGGTGACAGAGCCAGATTCTGTCTCCAAAAAAAAAAGTAAAGAAAATCATAAGGCTAGGTGGAGCCGCTCATGCCTATAATCTTAGCACTTTGGGAGGCCAAGGAAGGAGAATCACTTGAGGCCTGGAGTTTGAGACCAGGCGGGATAATATAGCAAGACCCTGTTTCTACAAAAAATGTAAAAATTAGCCAGGCGTGGTGGTACACACCTGTCATCCTAGCTACTCAGGAAGCTGAGCCAGGATTGCTTTAGCCTGGGAATTTGAGGCTGTGGTGAGCTATGATGGCACCCCTGCACTCCAGCCCAGGCAACAGGGCAAGACTCTCTCTCTAAAAAAGAGTCTGGACGTGGTGGCTCATGCCTGTAATCCTAGCACTTTGGAGGGCCAAGGTGGGAGAGTTCCTTAAGGTCAGGAGACTATGATGAACAACAGCGAGACCCCGTCTCTACAAAAAATAGAAAAACTAGCTGGGTGTGCTGGTGCGTGCCTGTAATCTCGGCTACTGGGGAGGCTGAGGCAGGAGGATCACTTGAGCCCAGAAGTTGGACTTTGCAGTGAGCTATGATGATGCCACTGCACTCTAGCCCAGGCAACAGAGTGAGACCTTGTCTCAAAAAAAAAAAAAAAGAAAAAAATCATAAGAGAAAATATATTCACTATTCATTAGGTGGAAGTGGATCATCATAAAGGCCCTCATTCTTGTCTTTATGTTGAGTAGGCTGAGGGAGAGGAGGCAGAGGAGTGGAAGAGGTGCTCAGATTCTAATCCCGGCACCTCCACTTTATAGCTGTGTGACCTCACGCAGGTCCCTTAACTGCTCTGAACCTTGGTTTCCTGGTCTACAAAATGGCGATGATCTACCTCCCTGAGGTGCTCTCTCAGGTAGAAGAGGTGGAGGAAGTGGAAGGGGAAACAGGCACATTCGATGTACCTTTTATTGTAAAAAAAAAAAAAAAAAAAAGGCCGGGTGCGGTGGCTCACGCCTGTAACCCTAGCACTCTGGGAGGCTGAGGCGGGCGGATTGCTCGAGATCAGGAGTTCGAAACCAGCCTGAGCAAGAGCGAGACCCCCGTCTCTACTATAATAGAAAATTAATTGGCAACTAATATATATATAGAAAAATTAGCTGGGCATGGTGGCGCATGCCTGTAGTCCCAGCTACTCGGGAGGCTGAGGCAGGAGGATCGCTTGAGCCCAGGAGTTTGAGGTTGCTGTGAGCTAGGCTGACGCCACGGCACTCACTCTAGCCTGCGCAACAAAGTGAGACTGTCTCAAAAAAAAAAAAAAAAGTCCACGTGTAAGTGGGCCTGCGCACCTTACACTCGTGTTATTCAAGGGTCAACTGTACACCAAAAGGCTGCCGCTCATTAGGGTGTAGCTCAGTGAATTGTCACAGAAGGAACCCAGAAGTATGAGCTTTTCCGTGTCTGGCTCCTTGGTTAATACCATGTTTAGAAATTCATCGGGGTTATTTCACAGCTGCGGTTTATCTGGTTTATCCATGTTTGCTGCTGCACGGTATTCCATTTTGTGAATATACCACCGTTTATGCATTTTCCTCTCGATGGGCTTCTGGGCAGCTCCCAGTTTGAGGTTTTTTGGTTTGTTTGTTTTTTGAGACAGAGTCTCGCTTTGTTGCCCAGGCTAGAGTGAGTGCCGTGGCATCAGCCTAGCTCACAGCAACCTCAAACTCTTGGGCTCAAACGATCCTCCTGCCTCAGCCTCCCCGAGTAGCTGGGACTACAGGCATGCGCCACCATGCCCGGCTAATATATTAGTTGGCCAATTAATTTCTTTCTATTTATAGTAGAGACGGGGTCTCACTCTTGCTCAGGCTGGTTTCGAACTCCTGACCTTGAGCAATCCGCCCGCCTAGGCCTCCCAGAGAGCTAGGATTACAGGCGTGAGCCACCGCGCCCGGCCCCAGTTTGAGGTTTGTTGCAGATCGTGCTGCCGTCAGCCCCTGCGCCCGTCTTCATGGGTGCGTGCTGTGTCCCTTGCGTGTGCACTAGGATTGGGACCGGTGTATACCTAGAGATGCTGCCAAGCCCGGGTTTTGTAGGCGAAGGACCTGAGGGCCCACAGAGCATGAGCGACCTTCCCAGGTCGCAAGGCACCTTCAGAGCTGCCCCGGCCAGGCCGGCGGACCGGGAAGCCAGCACCCAGCCCGGGGCTGCCAGGCAGGGGCTCTAGGGCTGCCGACCCCCCCTGACCCTGTGCTTCTCTCAGTCATTCTGTTGGGCCTCGAAGGCTCCCTGTGGGCTTAAGGATGGTGGCCTCTCTGTCCCGGGGGTCCTCGGTCCTTATGCTCCTCTTCTACCCAGTGCTCTGAGCCTGCCAGGGCTGGAGAGGGCGGCCCTTGCCTTGAGTCCTAGCTCAGAAAGCTCTTGGTGCCTGTTCACACTCCTCAGGGAAGGGGCTAGAGCGCAGTGATGGGGAGCGTCTCCTCACACCCCCAACCTTCGCCCCCCTCCCCGCAGCTCTAATGGTACCAAGTGACAAGTGGGCTTTCCTGTGACACGGGGACGCCAGAGCTGAGAAGATGTCAGCAATACAGGTACCGTGGGGGTCTGGGCCCACTAGCACCCGCCACCCCCAGAGGAGAGCACGTGGGGATGGGTCAGCCCACCCCCTTTCCCCGAGCCCTGTCCCAGCCCAGATTTTGACTAGAGAAAGATTTGCACGCATACCGTCAGACACAGGGCGGGGGTCGGAGGAATCTCAGCTCCAAGGCACCCAGAGTTCTCGGGGGAGGGGTGCCTCACCCAGGCTGCACCCACCCACCCGTCTTCTGCCCTGTAGGCTGCCTGGCCATCCGGTACAGAATGCATTGCCAAGTACAACTTCCACGGCACCGCGGAGCAGGACCTGCCCTTCTGCAAAGGAGATGTGCTCACCATTGTGGCTGTCACCAAGGTAAGTTGAGGACCTTATATTCCCACCCGCCCTCCCACCTATGGGGCTTGCCTCTGGGGCGAGGTCCCCCTGCAGGGGAGACCAGGCCTGAGAGTGCGTCTGGGCTGTCCTCTGCCTAGGACCCCAACTGGTACAAAGCCAAGAACAAGGTGGGCCGTGAAGGCATCATCCCAGCCAACTACGTGCAGAAGCGGGAAGGTGTGAAGGCGGGTACCAAACTCAGCCTCATGCCGTGAGTACCGGCAGAGGGTCGGGGAGAAAAGGGGAAGAGGCCCTGTCCTCCCTGGAACAGCATCAGAGGAAAGCAGGGAGGCCAGAGTAGGGGCTGCAGTGTAGACGAGGGCTTCCAGAGCAGGGCAGGGCGTGCATGCTTCCTCACGGTCATGGAAGGAAGAGGACAGGGGCGGGGGACAGGGAGCAGGAGTGGAGGCCCCGGATGCCTGAGCCAGTGGGAACCATGGGAAGGTGCCGAACAGAGGGAGCATCTTCAGAAAGGGGAGCCTTGCCGATGCATGGAGGAGGCTGGCAGGAGGCACCAGGGTCTGTACCCTTGGGCCACCATGACCTCTGGCTGGCCATCCCTCAGCTGGTTCCACGGCAAGATCACACGGGAGCAGGCCGAGCGGCTTCTGTACCCACCAGAGACGGGCCTGTTCCTGGTGCGGGAGAGCACCAACTACCCTGGGGACTACACGCTGTGCGTGAGCTGCGAGGGCAAGGTGGAGCACTACCGCATCATGTACCACTCCAGCAAGCTCAGCATCGACGAGGAGGTGTACTTCGAGAACCTCATGCAGCTGGTGGAGGTGAGCCGAGAGGGCGCCTGGCAGATGGCCTCACCCCCCATGCTCACACACTCCCGACCCCACAGGGGCGTGTCGTACAGCCTCCGTGAGCCCTCGTTTCTTTGCACCTCGATAGAGTACCTGTTGTATGCCAGGGTTGACCTCCAACCCCACAGCGCCACCACAGGAGGTAGCATTATCGCCATTTTGTAGACCAGGAAACCAAGGTTCAGAGCAGTTAAGGGACCTGCATGAGGTCACACAGCTATAAAGTGGAGGTGCTGGGAGTAGAATCTGGGTCTGTCTGATCCCAGAACTAACTTTCCTCCAGCCAGTCAGGGACCTTCACGCCCAGATGCGTGCAGGTAAACATGAGCCCTGCACCCGTATCACCAGGGCCGCCCAGGCTCCTGCGGCTTCCAAGGCCACCTCTGCCAGCCCTGGCCAGGCCTTACCTGGCATCTGATAGCCCCGGGTGGCCTCCCAGATGTCTCCTTGCTCTCATCTTCCCCTGCTGGCCTGGCTTAGCCTGCGGCAGGGGAGTGTGGGGGTCTTGGGCTCATCTGGCTAGAGATTGGTGTCAGCACTGAGTCAGGGGTTGCCCTCTGCATTAGGACACTGGTGACTCCCAAAGTGGTAGCGACAGCTGAGTGTGCAGCAGCTGGGTGTGGGGTGACATGGGAAATGGGCCCTGTGCCAAGAGTCTTCCCTTAACCCCTGCCCTGCCAGAGATGGGGAGCCCTCCCTACTCAAAGGGGCTCCTGGCCTGGCGGGCCCAGCCTCTGCTGCCCTCCTGTGGTCAGACCTGGGCAGTGCATGTGAGCCGATCGACACTGGGGTGCGGTGGGGGCTGGCTCTGAGTGCCCTGCCCCCACCCCCAGCACTACACCTCAGACGCAGATGGACTCTGTACTCGCCTCATCAAACCAAAGGTCATGGAGGGCACCGTGGCGGCCCAGGATGAATTCTACCGCAGTGAGTGCACCCCGCCCCACACCTTTGCCCACATCCCTCCTCCTACCCGGGCCTCCCGGCACTGCCCCATCCTGGAGGCTCTGGAGACCTCCTAGGAAGCCCACACACTTGACAGTCCAGCCCACCTCTGCCGTCCCTTTGGTGACCCCCAGCCCGACCTCCACACCTCTCGGTGGCCCCCATAGGTGGCTGGGCACTGAACATGAAGGAACTGAAGCTGCTGCAGACCATCGGGAAGGGGGAGTTTGGAGGTGAGCGGAGGGCCGGGCGCCCGGGAGGCCAAGGGCAGCGGGGAGTCCAGGGAACAGCCCCACCTCTCTCCCCCAGACGTGATGCTAGGCGACTACCGGGGGAACAAAGTCGCCGTCAAGTGCATTAAGAACGACGCCACCGCCCAGGCCTTCCTGGCTGAAGCGTCGGTCATGACGTGAGTTGGGACGGGGGCGGGTGGGAGGCTGCCCCAGGCAGGAGGCTGGGCAGGCTGTGACCGCCACTGTCCCATCTCAGGCAGCTTCGGCACAGCAACCTGGTGCAGCTCCTGGGCGTGATCGTGGAGGAGAAGGGCGGGCTCTACATCGTCACGGAGTACATGGCCAAGGTGAGTGCTGGCCCAGGGTTGGCCCCGTGCCACGCTGAACACGGGCTGAGGCCTTCCAGCTGCCCCAGACCCCCCTGTTCCCCTGGGCCCTGACCCCACAGTCCCTGTCCCAACTGAGCTTTGAGGTCGCCAAGGGCTCCGCTCTTATCCTGGTTCACCATTTATTCACCATGACCTTGGATGGGCCACGTCAGCTCTGCCAGCCTCAGTTTCATGTCCAAGAAATGGAGACAGAGACAAAATCTACGTCAGATTGTGGGCGTGAGAAGCAGTAATGCACAAACGGTCCCAGGCAGTGTGCAGGGGCGACGTCCCGACCCTCCCTGCTCCCTCCCCATCCTCTCCCCTCCCTTGGGTGGCCATTCACCCACCCGCCAGCCCGCTGTTTCAGGGGCTGCAGGGCGAGTCTGACCTATGGCCTGGCCGGTCTGTCTGTCCTGCCCCCAGGGGAGCCTGGTGGATTATCTGCGGTCTCGGGGCCGGTCAGTGCTGGGCGGAGACTGTCTCCTCAAGTTCTCACTGTGAGTGAAGCAGCCCCGGGCTGGGTGGGATTTGAAGGGTTCCCTGCCCACTGTGGGAGCCCCAGGCCAAGGGGACATGTGACTGGTCTGCCCCCAGAGACGTCTGCGAGGCCATGGAATACCTCGAGGGCAACAACTTCGTGCACCGGGACCTGGCCGCCCGCAACGTGCTGGTCTCTGAGGACAACGTGGCCAAGGTCAGCGACTTTGGCCTCACCAAGGAGGCCTCCAGCACCCAGGACACAGGCAAACTGCCGGTCAAGTGGACAGCCCCTGAGGCCCTGAGAGAGAAGGTGGGGCTGGCCTCCCTGGGGCCTGAGCAGTGGTGGGCAGGCTCCCGGGTCACTCCCGCCCCAGATTCACAAGCGGGCTCTGACGCTGCTGCTCCCATCCACCTGACAGAAATTCTCCACCAAGTCTGATGTGTGGAGTTTCGGAATCCTCCTCTGGGAGATCTACTCCTTCGGGCGCGTGCCTTACCCAAGAATCGTGAGTGTGGGAGCGGGCCCGCTGGGGCGTGGGGCACGGGAGTGCCGGCAGGGTCTGAGCACTGGAAGCCTCGGGCCTTCCCTGGGGAGCTCTCAGGCCACTCCTGCGCAGGGGTCCCCTCTGGGGCCAGGCCCTGCACTGAGTCCTGCCACCCCTGCCCACAGCCCTTGAAGGACGTCGTCCCTCGGGTGGAGAAGGGCTACAAGATGGACGCCCCTGACGGCTGCCCGCCCGCAGTCTACGAGGTCATGAAGAACTGCTGGCACCTGGACGCCGCCACGCGGCCCTCCTTCCTGCAGCTCCGCGAGCAGCTCGAGCGCATCAGAACCCACGAGCTGCACCTGTGACCGCCGGCCCCTGCCCAGGTCGTGGCCTGCGAGGACTGAGCCTGGAAGATCATGGGCCTGGCGCCCTGCCTGCTGGGCCTGAGCCTGGACTGTGCCCAGCGGACTGGCGGGCTCCCTCTGTCCCGGCCTGCGCCCTCCGGCCCCTTCTCTCACAGACCCCACGCTGGGCTTGGGGAGCCCACCGAGGGGCCGGACGGGCCGGAGAGTGGGAGGCAGTGCCACCAGGTCGGGCCTCCCCAGCCTCTCATCGCTCGCCTTCTTAGAGTTTTATTCCTTTCCTTTTTTGAGATTTTTTTCCGTGTGTTATTTTTTATTATTTTTCAAGATAAGGAGAAAGAAAGTACCCAGCAAATGGGCATTTTACAAGAAGTACGAATCTTATTTTTCCTGTCCTGCCCATGAGGGTTGGGGGATCCCTTGCCCAGCCTCGTTCCCCATTCCATGTTTCGTGTCCCGTGCCGCCTCGGTCGCCCGTGTTTGCGCTTGACCATGTTGCACTGTTTGCATGCGCCCGAGGCAGACGTCTGTCAGGGGCTTGGACTTCATGTGCCGCTGCCACCGCCCCCCTGCCTTGTGAGACGGAATCGTAATAAACCACCCCATGAGGACACTGCCGTCCTGCCTCGGGGCTCCCTCCGCCGAGCCCACCTGTCCTGCCCCGCCGCCCCCCGCCATCTCGTCCATCCCCTGTCTCTGTGAGTGGGGCTGGGTGGGGAGCATGGCCGGGAGATGTAGCCGCCGCTTTGTGTCAGCTGCACGAGCGAGTGTCCTGTGTCTGCCCGTGGGGGGATGCTCACCACCACCGCCCGCCCTGTGCCCTGTCCAGCTGCTGCCCGGCCTGGCGCTGGGCCCCATCCAAAGGGTGCTGCCGGGGCTCCAGCCGCCTCTTCTGCTGTGTCGTTCAAGCCCTCAGCACAGGGAGGGTCGGAGCCGAGGATTGGAGGGCCCGGGCCTGACCAGATGGGGATGGGGTTCTAGTTGGGCCCCTGTCCAAGAGTGAGAAAAGGCCATGGTGGGCCTGGGAGCTGGGTGGGGTGCCCCTGCAGGCCACAAGATACATGCTGTGCCTTGGGAGGGTGCACGAAGGAGGAGGCTCTGAGCTTCTGGTGGTTCTCACGTTTCACTCAGGATGTGACAGCTCTGCCCCGTCCCCACCCCTGCCACGTGCCAAGCCTTGTGCCTTGCTGGACTTTGCATGGGAGCGAGGAGACCCAGGTGCTTTCCAGTGGGGGAAGGCACAGATGGGGAATGTGGGCCTGCCATGGGATCTTCTCTCCCTCACTCCGGTTGTCCAGGGGCAGTGGTCAGTACAGACCCCTAAAGGTGGAGTGTCATTCACTGACACGAGCAGGTGAGGGGTTCCCCTTGTCCAGTTGACCCTTCCTCTCCAGCCAGCAGGACCTGAAATCCAGGGCGTTCTGACTCTAGAGTGTGCAGGTGTCTGCCTCAGCCCCACCGCGGGTCCACCCACCATTGCCTCTGACCCGGCCCCGGGCAATAGCCTCCTTGCCTCCAGGCCATCCTCTGCACGCTGCCCGACAGACCTTTCTAAACATAGATTATTCATTCAACAAGAAATATTTGAGTACCTGCTCTGTGCTAGGACTGGGTTCAGTGGTGAGCAGAATAGACCCTGTGAAGTTCACGGTTGGCCAGACACAGACAACGACACACTGAGTACTATAAAAGAGATAGGGGACAGGCTGGACGCGGTGGCTCACGCCTGTAATCCTAACACTCTGGGAGGCCGAGGCGGGTGTATTGCACAAGGTCAGGAGTTCGAAACCAGCCTGAGCAAGAGTGAGACTCTGTCTCTACTATAAATAGAAAGAAATTAATTGGCCAACTAATATATATATATATATATAATTAGCCGGGCATGGTGGCACATGCCTGTAGTCCCAGCTACTCGGGAGGCTAAGGCAGAAGGATCGCTTGAGCCCAGGAGTTTGAGGTTGCTGTGAGCTAGGCTGACACTACAGCACTCACTCTAGCCTGGTCAACAAAGCAAGACTCGCCTGTCTCAAAAAAAAAAAAGATGGGGGACAGGTGCATGAGCTCATGCCTATAATCCTAGCACTCTGGGAGGCCGAGGCAGGAGGATCGCTCAAGGTCAGGAGTTCGAAACCAGCCTGAACAAGAGCAAGACCCCCGTCTCTACTAAAAATTGAAAGAAATTAGCTGGCCAACTAAAAATATATAGAAAAAATTAGCCAGGCATAGTGGTGCATGTCCGGCTACTCGGGAGGCTAAGGCAGCAGGATTGCTTGAGCCCAGGAGTTTGAGGTTGCTGTGAGCTAGGCTGACACCACGGCACTCACTCTAGCCCGGGCAACAGAGCGAGACTCTGTCTCAAAAAATAAAAAAAGAAAGAAAAACGTCTAACATGGGAGTGGAGGGCTTCCTGGAGGAACTGTGTTTCAGCTGAGACCAGAAGGAAGAACAGACGGCACCATCGGGGCTTAGCAGCATTGCAGGGAGAGACGCTGAGGGGTCAGCTTTGTCCCAGGACGCTGGGAAGGTGGGAGATGTCCAGACGGCCCAGGGCCGAGCGGTGCTGTGGTGCAGCAAGGACTTGGCTTTCAGCAGGCAGAGGCATAGGACGCCCATGCAAGTTCTGAACGGGAGGGTGATGTGTCAGATAAGTGTTTCTGGAATACTCACAGAGAAGCTTTGAAGGAAGGACAGCGAGGGGTCGCCAGGTGAGAGGATGGTGGGAAGTAGACGGACTCCACAGAAGTCCGTCGGAAGAGGTGAGGCTGACTGCACTTGGTAACGGACTCGGCGTGCCAGGGAAGCAGGCCTGACCAGCGGGATGGCTGTGAGGAGGTGGCAGGGGCCCCGCTGAGCGAGGGGACCAGGAGGCACACGAGTCCTGTTTAGGGCATGTTGAGTTTTAAACATGTGCCTTTGAAGCTGCCAAGAGGCGTTGAGTCAGTTGTTGGAACCCAGAAGCTGGAAAAGAAATTCCAGTCACCGCGAATGGATTGAGCCCAGTGCCGTGGGCAAGGAAGATGAGGCCACTTTGGGAGGACACATAAAGGAGACAGGGCCAGGGCCGAGCCTTGAGGACCTCTTAGCATTGCGAGGTCAAGAAGAGGAGGTTGACCACCAAGGTGCAGAGGGAGGAGGAGAGAGTGTCGTGGCCCGGCAGCGAGGCAGCCAGTGGGCCCCTGCTTGAGGAGGAGGCCTTGCTGACTTGAGCAGCACCCGTGTTTGGTCGGGGCCAACTCGCGTCCACAGCGGCCAGAGGAGGACTCGGCAGCCTCGAGAAATGGAGGTGCGAGAGGAGGACGTGGGAGGTTTGTTTTTGAGGCTTGAGCAAATGTGACTGTCAAAGGAAAGGACATTCACCTTCAGATCATGGCCAAGTGCTGAGAGGGAGACGGGAGCTATGGCGGGGAGCCTTGGAGCAGAGGGCAGGCCCCAGATGGGAGAGGGCCGGTCCTGAAGCTGCAGGGCAGCAGGGAGACGTGGAGCACTGGTGACTGTTTGACAGCCAAATCCAGGGCAGGGGCTGGGTGGCGCACTGTGATTCATAGTCTTTGTGAACACTCGCTCACCAGGGCCAGTTTCGAGCTACCAACCTGACTTGGCTGAACGCTGGTGGAGATTCCAACAATCAGGTTCAGAAACCTGCAGCGGTGCCCGTGGCTGTGCGGCCACGACAGGGCCAGGCAGGCAACACAGAACTGGCCACGTGAGACAGGCAGGAGTGAAGGGACGGGCCTGCTGGTGGGACCCTGGGGGAAGGCAGGCCCGAGGAGCCGGGTGCTCCAGTTCTTTCCACCTGGTGATTTGGCAGCCCTTCCCCTCTGCGTGCACCCTGCCCCATTCCTTCACCGCCCTCCCTCCCTCCCTCCCCTCTTCCCAGTTTCTGTATTTCGCTCTCATCTTTCCTGTCAGCTTGGTGCTGGCCAGCGGCTTATCCTGGATGAACAGGACATAGGTCCTACCCTTGAGGAGCTTATGGACTGATGGGGGGACCCTCTCAGGACTCAAGCCGGTGCCCAGAAATCCGGTGGGGTATCGCCCACCGCCAGCACCCAGCAGCGGGGCCGAGGTGGCAGCAGACTCGGGGTGGCTACTCAGACACTCAGAGGGTGACAGGGACAGAGCAAGGGCATTCCTGGCAAAGGAGGGGCACTGCCTGGGCAAAGGCGGTGAGGTGCAGCAGCCTGCGGCTCAGGTGCCAAGGTGTGTGGTCTGGGATCAGGTGGGACCTGAGAGAAAGCAGGGCCAGACCCACTGTCCTTGTAGGCGCAGTGAGGAGCTCGGCCGTGCAAAGGTTTAGGACACGGGAGTGACATGCCCAGGTAGGTCTTTCCGGTGGCAGTCTGGCCTGGAGACGCAGGACAGCAGGAGGCTGCGGGCAGCTGAGCAGGCGATGGGGCCGGCTGGAGAGGCAGGGTGCTGGGGAGGGAGCACGCTGACACCGCACTGGCCCGGGCCTGTTCTCAGCACCTCACTGTGCTACCTGTGTGACCGACAGCTCCTGGAGGTGTACATTAATACTCTCGTGTCCCCATTTTACACATAAATAAACAGGCTCAGAGAGATTAAGGAACCAAGTAACAGATCATGACAGCGGCAAGAGCAGGTTTCAGAGCTCGCTGCTGGCCGGAGGTAGGGGTGAGGCAGTGGGCAGGTCGGGAGCAAGTCCACTCTGGTAGGGTGAGGGTGGTGCCATCCGTGAGAACGAGGCCTGGAGGACGATAGGAGGGGCTGGAGAAGAGGAATTCGGTTGAGACATGATGTCTGGGGCCCTTAGACATCCAAGCAGATATGTCCCCTGCAGAGAAAGATATTCATTCTGACCTTCCAGGAAGAGGCTGGCCAGGAAGTAGAGACTGGGGAACCCCAGGCAGTGACGTGCCGGAAGGAGCAAGGGGGCCTGGGCCCAAGCGCTGTGAGGGGACACCTGGGCCTTAACTTAAGGGGAGAGCAGCTGGCAAGGGAGTAGCAAAGGGAGCAGCTAGGGACAGGGAGAGAAGCAGGGGAGCGCTGGAGCGACTCGGGGCACAGGAGAGGGGCGGCCGCAGTGACAGTGATGGGTGAGTCGTGGCAGAGGCCAGACTGAGAAGAGTCCGCTAGGCCCAGAGCACGGGGTCACTGCTCAGGCCTCGCCAGAGCATTCCGTGTGGTGGGGAGGGGCAGCCGCAGGAGGGCAGGGCTTCCAGGATCGGTGGGGGGCGAGGGGGCAGGGACGCAGTGGGACCACCTGGCGGCAGCTTGACCATGACGGGGAGGGGAGCAGGTGGCGGCAGTTGAGGGCTTGGTGTTGAGAAGAGGTTTCTTTTAGCATGTCCTACTATTTCCCATTTACACCCTTGATTTTGAGCGGTTTGTGGAGTTCAGTGACTGAATCCTACTGGGAACCTACAAAGCACAGTGAAACATCAGCTCCCCAGAATTCCTGGCAAATGAGTCATTCTGGAAAAACAAACTATTTGGATGAAAATATTTGAAATATAGGATTTCCTATCTTTTAAAAACTTTTATTATGGAAATTGCCAAACAAATAAAAGCAGGGAGAAGAGTGTAGCGAGCTCTCACCCCACGTCACAGCGGCCACTCAGGGCTGTGAGTGGCGCCTGCCCGCACCCCCAGGCCTGGAAGGTTTGGAAGCAAGTCCCAGATGGAGCAATTCATCCACAAAGCTTTAGTATGTTTCTCCAAAAGACTTTTAAAATATAACCGTAATACCATATTATTCCTAAAAATTTTAACAGTAATTCCTTAATATAATCAAATATCCATTGTTCAAATTTCCCCAATCGTTGCACTTTTTTCCAATAGGTGAGTTAAAATTTGTCTCCCAATGAGGTGCACACGTGGCATTTCTCTGCTCTGTCTCTCAAGACCTGTCTCGAGGGATGCCATTGTGGAGGAAACCAGGGTGCTTGGAAGGGTGAGCTGCGGGGACGGGGGCATGAGCGTCACGGCCAGGAGGGCGGCTGAGAAGGAGCGAGGGCAGGCGGGCACACAGCCAGGTGGCCGCAACAGCCACAAGCAGGGGAAGGCACGGCACAGTGGCCATCCCACAACAGGGAGGAGAGGCCAGGGCTGCTGAAGGGTGAGGCCTGTGCATCCCCAGGCGCACCCCGAGCAGCAGGAGCTGAGGACGAGGGAAGGTGGCCTGCGCCGGGAGCAGGGCAGAGCTCGGGCTGGCAAGGGGTCTGGCCACGCCAGGCTGGAGTGAAGGAGGCGCAGGCCAGAGAGCAGGCCTGGAAGGAGCAGGATGTCTGTGTTGGGGAGGGAGGGAGGGAGAGAAAGGACGGTGCCAAGACCCGGCTCCTGCCAGTCCCAAGCTCCTCCCTGCCTGGCCGGTCCCAGGAGCCCCTTCCTGGCCTCCCAGCTACTGTCTACCACGGGCCTGGACAGCAGCTGCCGAGACAATGCCGGTGGTCAGTGATCCACATGCCGTGCTGTGCCTCCTCCTGTCCCCACAGCACTGGGTGGGGACACCTCCTCTGTGAAGGTTTGAGCACAAGCTCAGCTTCAAAGGCCCAGGGCTGGCATTACCCGAGGCTGGAATACCCTTCCGGAGCTACCACAGAGGCGAGGGCAGGGGTGGGCACCAGCCGTGCCCAGGGTCCCTCAGCATGCTGGAGGGGTTGCAACTCAGTGGGGGACGGGCCTGCCAGGGCCAGCCTCTGTCCAGGGTGGGCAGGGCCTGGGGCAGACAGTGCCAGGGGCCCCAGGACTGTTCCGGGCTGATCTGCTCCACCACTCCCCAGTCTCAGCTTCTCCCTTCTGCTTCTCTGCCCTGGGACTTCTCTCTCCTCCTCTGCCTCTCCTTGGACCCCTCCCCTTCCTCTGCCTCTTGAACCTGTGAACACACACAGGTACACATGCTCACACGCTAAGTCCCAGGTACAGAAACAAGGCAACTTGGACCAGCACAAAGCCCCAGGCTCCCGGCTCCATCCTGTCTGCCTGTGCCGTCCATGAGGACTGAGGGCCCACCTGCAGGAAGGCGTCCTCGTGTCCTGCTGTGTCGCCAGAGCAGGCACCAGCCCTTCCCTGTATGCATGTTGGGAGTGGAAGCAGGCATGAGGGCATCTTAGCCCATGGGTCTGTGTTCAGGGCCTTCCAAACCCAGACCTGACAGAGTCTGTCTTCTGCCTGATCTTGTTCAAAAAGCATTTGTGATGACTTACAAGGGCCTATATGATAGAGAGGAACTTAAATTAGGAGTGAGCAAGAAGAATGAGACTTAGGGTCAGGATGGGACATGAAATGAGTCCAGTTTCCAAAACATGCTGTGAGATCTCAACTCCGGAGTTGGGCCATGGATTTAGCTCAGAACCTCCCAGCAGGCAAAGCAAAGAGAGAAAGCAGATCAGCTGTGTGTTTCTATCTATGAGATGTAAGTTCTGAGAAACGGCATGGTTCCTGACTGGGCCAGAACAAAATACTCTTTTAAAATGACAGGCTCTGTCAGTAGGGTCTTTCTTCCAGTCCTCCTTCAAAGAGGCACAGGAGGTGGATGGGGTGGGCTGTCTCACAGCACCGAGCCAGGCGGGCAGGGCCTGCACACCATTCACTGCTCTTGGTTTTGCCTGGCCTGGGCTGCCACAGATCACGTGGGGGAGCGGAGGCACGCTCTCCAAGGCCGCCCAGTGCATGCCCGTCATGTCCATCGCCTATTCGTTCGTTCACCCGCCCTGATGCTCCTCTGTGCCCAGCACAGAGACACACGGCTGAGTCAGGCTCAAGAAGCCGCAGTCTGGAGCGAGGTGGCACGACTGATCCACGCGAGGCCGAATGCATAAGGATAGCAGGCAGCTGGCAGTCCTTGCCTCCTGCAAGTCACTTCAGAGGCAGTGGCAGCTTCTGGGGGCCCTAGGATTTCTGGCCTTGCACTCTCTGAGCCTCCCTGCCCTGTCCTGGCCTTTGCAGGCAAACAGGTATGATTAGCACCCTCTGGGAAGTCCCGGCAGGGTCTGGTCCTGGGCCAGGTTCCAGCCTAGCCTGCCAGAGGGTCAAAAACAGCTGGAGTAGGGCTCTGAATGCCCTTTCTGGTTCCCGCCAAGTCACCTCGGTTTCTCTCCCCATTCCTCCCCGTCACTCAGGCTCCTTTCCCCCGACCCTGCCACCACCAGGACACTTCCCACCCACACTCCCCCGTTCCTCACGTTCTGGGCCAGCCTGCCCTGCACCTTGGCTTCATGCTTCCTCCCTCTGGCCCGCCCCAGGTCCCTCCCCGAGGAGCCCGCACTCCCCTCCAAGCTGCCCAGCCTGCCGCCCTGGGCAGGCCGCTGTTCTGCCCGAGCGCTGTCCTGCGTTCTGTGGTCGCAGGGCGGCCCTTCTCCCACGCCTCAGTCTCCGCATCCGAGAACAGGAGGGGTCAGACACAAACCTCTCCCGTGGTGGAAAAAGCTGGACTCTGGAGTCAGAGGAGATGAATTCCAAGCCACTCAGTTCCTTAACTTTATTTCCTCAGTTTCCTCATCTGTAAAACGAGGTCTTATAAAAACAGACGGCGCAGACTGAGGCGAGGCTCAAGGGAGGACGCGGCCATGCTGGCACCGTCACCCTCCCTGGCACCTGCCCCTCTGGCTGGGCTGGGCAATGGTTCCCGCGTCTCGGTGGGTTCCTGCGTCGGACCAGCGGCCCGTTATCAAATGTTCTTCCTTCTCCCGGAAGCCAGCCCCGACAGTGAAGGGCCGCAGGGGTGTATTGGGCCTGGGTCCTGAGATGCCCTGGCCCACAGATGCCATCCCAGCCCTGGGGGAAGCACGGCTGGCACGATCTGTGAGGCCCCGCAGCGGCGCCGTGTGGAGCAGGGCCTCTGTGCCCTTCTCTGCCTGGGAGGTGGAGACGCAGATGAGGTGACCAAGCCAGGGCACTGGGAGCCCAGGGCATGGTGAGTGGCCCCACTCGGGCTCGACAGGGGTGTGGATCAGGGAGGCGGTGGTGAGCCCTGGGGTTCCAGTGTCCTGCAGGGATCCCTGAGCTGAAGGACTGGGGACCTACAGGTCATGTGGTGCACCTGGGACAGGGCCATGTAGGCTCTGTCTTGGGGGGCTTGTTCTCGTGGGACGACATCACGATCTTCGACTCTTCTGCCAGGGCTATCCAGGTGAGTAGTGGTCTCCTGCCCACCTGCCCGCCCACACCCTCAGCCTCCTCCCGTGCCCACAGCTCAGGCTGACTGTCACCCCATGCAGAACAGCCCTGTCATCCATGTGCTGGCCAGTGGCGCACCCCCATAAGCAGCTCGTGCAAGGCCTGTTGGGACAGCCCCTCATTCCTGGGCCAGAGGGGCTCCGGCAAGGAGCTCACCCCTCCTGGAGCTGTCACTCCTGCTGGCATCTCACTCTGAACTGGTGGCTGTCCCCCTGGGACTCCCACTCAGTCCCAGCTGTGCCCCTGGGCCCCAGACCCAGACTTTGCCCCTGTCCCTGCGAACCAGGGACCACCCAATAGCCCAGGGGAAATGACTCAGGCTGCGGCCTGCAATAAGTGTGTCTGCCCCATTAGCTCATTCATCCCGACACCTTTGACAAGGGGGAAGTACTGGTCCCCATTCACAGGTAAGGACACTGGGGCAGAAAGGTGAGGTGACGCGCCTGAGGTTGCACGCTGTGTGCAGAGCTGAAAGCCAGCCCAGACTTGCCTGTGGGGGATCCACGCCCTTGCCTGCACCAGCTGCCCCTCCCCGTCCCTTCCCTTCCCCAGATGACGTGGCCTGTCCCCCCTGCCTGCAGTAGCCCAGGCGGTTTGTAGCCCGTGACAATCGGACTAATTGCTGGCACTCGTGGCGCTGGGCGTGTGTGGCCAGGCCATCACCAGGCGGTTGGCAGGCTCTCTTGGTCACCCTCGTAACATTGTTACGAGCTGCTTTCAATTATCATCCTCGTTTTAAAGACGAGAGCACTAGGGTTCAGGAGGATGAGGTAGCTCGCCAAGGCCACGCAGCTCGGAGTGCAAGCCCAGGTGGCCGTGAGAGGCCAGCGGCTTTGGCATGAGCCGCACAGTGTCGGTGCGTCCGTGGCCCCTGGGCCGGGAGACACTCAGGGCTCACACTCTTCTGTAACTCCTCAAAGCCTGCCGCGCCGCCCTGTGGAGAAGGTGGGCTGTCACACTGCCCTTGGCCACTAGGACGAGTCCCATGTCATCTGCCCTGTCTGTCCTGCCACAGTCTGAGCCGCTGGCAGCAGGGAGAGGAGAGAGAAGCCCTAGCCAGAGGCACGGGGACTTGGAATTGCGGGGCGGGGGGAAGGGCAGCAGGGTGACTGGTGGGTCGGGGACTGAGGGCAGAAACCTGCTGTCGATCCAGGCCTCTGTCCGCCCCCCAGGCATCCAGGGAGGCCCCGCCCCTTCCTCTGCAAACTCCAGGTTCTAGCATTCTGTCAGGCAGGGCCTGCTCGCTGCCCTTCTCTCCTGCCAAGAGAGCAGATGACAGCAAGGCCATGCCCCGTCCCAGCTCTCCCCTCCCACAGCAGCGCCACCTCCAGTGGGGAAGCAATGGGCAGAGTGGCTTCTAGGACTTCGCTCACTGGCCAGGCCTTGGGTTCTGTGTGACCTGGCTGCATTCCAAGTGCCCACAGGGACAGAGCTGGCTGGGTGCTGGGCTCCTGTCATCCGGACTTCGGGAACTGGCCACACCCCTTCAGAGTAAGGATCACCTACTGGAGCAGAGGCTGCGTGTGAGTGGCCTCTCCTGTCTTTGGGGTCCTCCACGTGGGGAGTCAGAATACAGGGCCCCGGTGACAGAGCTGCTGCCCGTGAGTGCCCACAGCCCCCCTGGCGCCTGGACACCACGCAGGGTCCCTGGCCCACGACAGCCAACACACACCTGGGCTCCTCCACCCTCCACAGACTCCTAACACTCACACACAACACATGCACGTAAGGGCCAACTGGAGACCAGGAGTACAGGTCACCTCTGTGCCCTTCTGACACCAAGCCCTGTGGCCTCTGCCCTGCACAGCAGCCCGTGAGTCAGAGGCGAGGACAGAGCCCCGCTGCTGGGGGAGCAGAGGGGCTCACCCCTCCACAGCCCCCAGGTGTCCTTGAACAGCGGCCTGGCTCCCAGCCACCCAGATGAGGTCTGTGTGGATGTGGGGCCCTGCTTTTGGTGGCTGGAGGTTTCTTTGGGGTCTCAGCAGCCACCAGCATGCTGGCAGGTGAGGATCCCACTGGGCAGGTGAGAGCAGAGTGGGGACTAATGCATCTTCCTGAGCACACCTTCCCAAGAGCGCTGGGTGTGGGTTGGCCACTTCCACACCATGCGACCTAGGCGAATCATGAGTCCTCTCTGAGGCTCGGTGGCCATCGGGAGAAGTCATGTCTGCCTTGAGACTTGGAAGTCTAAAATGGGATAAAACAAGAGACGCTTGTATTCCAGCGTTGGCCCCATAAGTGCCCCTAGGTGGGAGCTGTGGGGCAGGTAGAAAAGGGACAGCCACGAGGAATATTTAGGGAAATGGAGCAAAGAGGAGTGATGCAATAAAGAGCCATGGAGGGCCCTGTAGGTGGACAGCAGGGGAATGGGAGTCTTTAAATGCCAGGACTTTATTCTTTAGACCGTGGGCACTAGGGAGCCACGGAAGGTTTCGGAGGTGGAGAGTGACGTGGTCAGAGCCACACCACGGAGGCAGCCACTGCAAGGTTGCCTCTGCCAATAGCATCTGTGCTCTGGGGCCTGAGAATGTTACTTACTTTGCTACCAGGGCTCTAGCCCAGGGTGTTTTGTGATTGTCCAGTTTTCCCACTCATGGGGGCCCACCTCTGCTGAGTATGAAGTTCAACCCTCACAGCCCCTCTACTCATCTGTGCCCCACACCCATCCTGTGACATGAGCAAGACAAAGGCCTGAGAACTGCCTCCCTCGGGTGCGATGGGCGCTGGGGTGAGGGCCAAGGGAGGGACTCCGGGTGAAGTGGTCATATTTCTTCTCCATCCACTCCCTTCCAGGTGACCATGACGTCCTGTCCTTCCTGACCTTCAGTCTGAGTGAGCTGAGCCCAGTGGTGATGCCAGGCCTGGCCACCTGGGAGAGGCCAGCCAGGCACCCTTCCCTCGCCCGTGTCATAGTGCCCTCAGAACTGCCATCCAGCCATCCTCCACCTGTCCTCTGAGCTCTGCACAGGCCAGGCCTCGCGTTGGGCAGTGCTGGGGCCAGGCCCTGTCCTCAAGGCCTCCCAGGCTGGCTGGGCCACGCTGTTACATCACAGTTCAGAGTGATCAGAGCTGGGTCTCCAAAGGTGCAGGGGGCCGTGGGAGCAGAGAGAGGGGCTCTGAACCAGCCAGGGGATCAGAGAAGGCTGCCTGAGGAGACAAGCTTGAAGGACCGGAGGAGCAGCGGCCAGGCCCGAGGCCGCAGCGAGGGAGGGATGTGGGGGTCTGCACAGGCGCAGAGCTCAGAGGGCTGGAGCCTACAGGGCTGGGTGGCCAAGCTGACAGCTCTTCCCTGGCTGGGGTGCATGTTTAGTCAGGAAGGGAGACTGGCTTGTGAGGGAGCCTCTGGGTCTCCCACGGGTTTCAGGCCCCACTTTGTGTCTTCTTCCCGCAGCCTCTCCCTGCCCTCCCTGGAGGTGGAGCAGCTCCGCCTGCACAGGCAGCTGGAATGGCTGCAGGCAAGGCTGGCCCTGGGCACCAGGGAGGACATAACTCCACAGCCAATCTCTGCAGCTCCAGGATACGGTAGGGACCCAGGGAGTAGGCAGGTGGGGCAGGGGCCCATCTGACTCACAGGTTCCTCTTCCCTTAGAACCAGCAGTTCCTTTAACCAATGAGAAAACAGAGGCCTATCTAAGTGGGACCTGGGGCCCAGGTGCTCTGTCCCAGCCCCACCTCCCAACCCAGACGCATTTTCCTGCGGAAGGTCTTGGTGGCAGCAGCCACGCCTTCTGGCAACCCTCTCCAAGATGCCCCCCAGACATAGGCTGTGTTGCCCCAGCCCAGCTGCCCAGCCCAGCTCTGCTCCCACCCCCAGGGGAAAGGCTCTCTGACCTGGAGGAGACGCTAGGCAAACCCAGCTGGGTCCTGCAGGCTCTCCAGGGTCTCTCCAAGCAGTTGGCCCAGGCTGACAGGCAGTGGAAGAAGCAGATGGGGGCCCCAGGCCAGGCCAGGGCTGAGGGAAGCTGGGTGAGTCCTTCTGACAGCCAAAGCTCCCCCTGCAGGCCCGAAACAGGAGCGGCCCTATAGCCAGGAACTAGCCTCACCCAAGTTCTGGAAGGAAGGGGCGGGATGAAAAGCCGCAGCTCACAGGACATGACAGGGGAGCATACAGGAGGGCATCTCTGCACAAGAAAGTGCCCACAGAACCACAGGGCTGGGGAAAGGAAATGCCAAGTATTTGGACTCAGGTCTGTAGATGAATGACAGAAATAGACTAGGTGCTAATTTGCATGTAGCTGCACATGTGATTTGCATACAGCTTGCTTAATGCTCAGTTGCATGAAAATCCTCATTTCAACCCCATTGCCAGCTGGCTCCTCCCCCAGGGAGTCCTGCCTCAGGTCATGCCCAGCCTGGGGGGCCTGAGAGCTAAACTCAGCCAAGGTGCTAAGCACTGGGCAGAGGGGGCCTGCAGCTCCTACAGGCTTTGCTGGGCTCTGACAGCTTGATGTTTTAATCTGTGTCCTCAGGCCAGAGCAGCTTAGGCTGGGCTGCTGCAGTGGGGAAGAGGGGGCAGCCTGCGCTCCAGGGCCAGGCCTCTGATCCTACCTTCAGGCCCTGCACCCCTCCTGCCAGGTTCCATCAGCCCCAGAGAAACGTGGCCACCTCTCCAGGTCACTCAGCGAGGCAGGGACCCATCCACTGGGTGTTGACCAGCACTGGCCCCAGCTTGGATGGTGCCCTGAGAGAAGGGGCAGACAGGACTGGGCTGGGCCTGTGCATCCTTCAGGGGACAGAGCCACTTTAAGAAAGGGGAGGGATTTTGAGAAAGCCCAGGGGTGGCCACTGTTGGGGGAAACAATCACCTTTAGGGAGATGGTTTTGGGGAGGGGGTGGGAAGCAGAAACCAGGATGGACAGGGGTCCAATAAGCTTAGTGTGTCCAAAATGAGGCGGCCCTGGTAATCTGGCAAGGCCTCCGAGAGGAGGATGCTTTTGCATCCCTGAGGAGGATGGGCTCTGAGAAGACGGGGCTGTGCCCTGGGCCCTAGACAAGAGGCTGGCCCTCCTGCAGGACTCTACCAAAGTCCGTGCCCTGCCTCATGGACAGCGGACTCTGCTCCAGACCCTCCAAGAGATAAGGGAAGGGACAGGGTAAGGGACAAGGTGAGGCGGGGCACCCAGGACCCCCTGCACCTTGCTTCTCTGCCTGAAGTTCCTCCATTTGCCCTTCATTTCTTTTGTCATTTCCTGAGCACGCAGCACAAAGCCTGGCAATTGGAAGGGCTGGGGCTGGAAGTAGGTTTGTTGAGTTGACTTGAATTTAACTGAATCAAATTTAAAGTTTTGAAAGTCCCAGTTCAAAAGCAACTCTCTCAGGGAGAAGCCCAACATGAAGGCCCCCGTGAGACATTCCTGCCCCAGGGAGGGTTAGTAAATCTGAGCCTTCCTTCAGTGACAGCTCCTGGAAGGAGGGAACATTTTGATGGGGGTTCTTGGACGGTGCCCAGCCAAGATGAGGCCAGCTGGAGGAGGCGATCCCTGACTTCGTTTTGCCCCTTTCAGCCTCCCAGCATCCACTCCAGGCCAGGAGTCTGGGGCCTGGGGGTACGAGGAGCCCTGGGGATGCCTGGGAGGAGGAGGCTTCAGGCTGGCTGCTGTGCCTGAAGCCTAACCCCCCCCCTTCCCAAACAAACACACAAACACATCTATAAGGCTGGGCTGATCCGTGGGAAGAGGGAAAGGAGCTCAATCCCCTGGGAGCTGGAGCTGGAAGGCAGAGCCCAGGGGAGGCTGGGCTTGAGACCAACAGCTTTAGGGAGATCCCTACCTGAGCTAAAGTCATCTCAGGATCTAGGAAGAAGGTTTGGGGTGAAAAGACCAGCCCCCAGGAAGAGGCCCCATGGGTGGTGGCTGTTCCCTACCCATGTGCTGCCCCGGGGGATTGTGGGAAATGATTAGGTAATTTGGGTGCAACCAGAAGGGATAATGGGTCATCTCCTTTGGTTTCCACCCCCATTAGGGAGGCAGCAGCCCGCATGGCCTCCGAAGCCTGGGTCTACCTGCCTGTGGGTGCCGAGCATCATTTCTTAGAGCTGGACCAGATCCTGAGCCTCCTGCACAGGCTTTGGAGCCCAGCAGTGAGGGAGAAGTAGCAGGCGGCATGTGGGCCCCATCCCTGAGATCCAGGCTCAGCCACCCTTCTTTCAGCACTCCTGCAGCCCCCAGGCCCCTCCTGCCCTTGCCCTCCCCGCCCAGGACGTCTGGCAGGCCCAGCTGTGTCTGCGTCTGTGTCTGTGTGTGCATGCCCACGTGCAGGCACTCAGATCGCACCCTCTCGTCCCCCTCTGCTCTCAGGAGAGTCCCATAGACTCAGCACCAGCAGGGCCCTAGAGAACCCTGGGTCCAACCCCCAGTGGCCAGAAGGGAAAAGGGGTGGGCTGGTGGAGTGGGCTCTTCCCCACACCCCTGTCGCATCCTGCTCTTACCCTCGCCCTCACCCAGTTTTTTGCTCTCTGCTTCTTTCTCTTCTTTTGAGCCTTTGGCCCTTGATGATCCCAGGCCCCAGGCCCTCCCAGCTGTCCCCAGATGTCGCTAAGGGAGCTGGGGTAGGGGAGGCGGTTTTGTAGCTGCCCCTTCTCCAGGTTCCTGGATGAGAGCTGGTGGCCCCAAGCCTGGGGAAGGGAAACAGAAAGAGCACACGCATGGCCCAGATTCTAGGTCCCCTCCCTCCTTCTGGATGAGAAGCTGAGGCAGGACCTTGGACTTGTCCCTTTAGGAAAGCAACATCCAAGGCTATCCACACACCTGGCTGGCCCCCAGAGGCCTTCTCATGCCTGTGGCCTGGCATCTTCCTCTTCTTCCTCCTCATTCAGACTGTAGGCTTCTTCTGCTACCTGCACTTCAGGTGGGCCTCCCTGTGGGCAGGACTTCCCACTCCACCCAGCATCTCTTGATTCTGGGCTATAGCCATTCAATTTGAGGGGAGGGCTATATTGCTAAATTGAGGCCAGAGGGGACCTGCTTACTCCCCAGACAGCAAAGAGCACATGCCAAGTCAGGACCAATTTTTTCCAGGTACTACTGCCCATCTGCTCAGCCCTCCAGCCCCATCTGTGTCCTTCCCTCCCAGAGCTCACTCTCTGGAGTGAGAAACTGACAAGTAATTGACAGTATCACCCTGAACAGTCAGTGCCATGACAGCAGGAAGCTCAGGGGCTGTAGGAGTGCAAGCAAAAACACCTGAGTTGACCTGAAGAAACCAGGAAATTGGCCTGGAAGGGACATTTGATATGGGCCATCAAGGTGACCAAGAGTTTTGTAGCCTGACAAAATAGGTAAAAGCATAGGCATCGATGGGGGGTAACAGCATGAAAAAAGGCATAGAGGCATGAAAAAAGCATAATATCTTGGAGAAAAAGTGGCAAGTTCAGTACTGTTGGAACGAAGGGCGGGACCAGTTTGTGAAATTGGACAGAGAATTGAAAAGGTGAGGGGAGGTCACTAATTTTGCTTGGTGGTTACTTACTGAATGAATGCGCACCACTTAGAAATGTGGGTGTGCTATGGGCCTTAGAAATGGGACTGACAGCCCTTCCTGGTGGAATTTCAAGACAAGAAGCATCAGTGGGGGCTGAGATGGTCCTGGAGGAGGACTGAAATATATTCAGCTTTAAAAGGCACAAGATGGAATGATCATGGGCTACGCACATGCATAGGGATGCAGGGGTGGTAGAAAGCCTGGAGCCACCTGCACAGACCTTAAATGCCGAGGGGAAAGTGTGGACCTTTTGTGGCAGGCGAAGGGAGACACAGAAGGTCCCAGAGCAGGGGAGACTGTGGTGCAGTGAGCGGAGCCAGGCAACTGTGACTGTCTTGGTTTCAAAAGCCCAGAAGAGAGAGACCCAAGTAACCTCTTCTCTCTCTGGCAGCAGACAGGAGCCGGACAAGAGCCTTCGGGAGCATCTGTCCACAGGCAGCCTTCCTCAGGGTCCTACAGCACACGTCCCTAGGGCCCTGGGGGCTCTGAGGAGGCAGCCACCCCCCCCCCCAGCATGCATGCCTGACCCACCTGGAAGCTGCTGCTCACCACGGGGAGGCAGGCAGTGTCTGGGGGTGGGAGAGGGCTTGGCCAGTATCCTCTATCTCTGGTGGCCAGCTCCTACCAGCACCTCCTTAGCTTTTGGTGAGCTCCCACCTTATTAAAGGTGATTTCCCTTTGTCAGTGCTTTGATACACTCATTTACCTTCCAGCTTCACCTTAGTCTCTGTGAAGGCATCCACCTCCTCTGGGTAGGTAGCTGGGGGTGGGCTCCAGGCAGGCAAGGAGGCCACGGACTTGCCCAATGGCCAAAAGACCAGATATTCCATGGCTTTGAGCCCTGGACTACAGAGGGAGAGGGAGTCGTAACTGTGTATAATTCTGTCCCCAAATTCATCCAGAACAAGGAGCAGTATCTCCCAATGTCCCTCATGACCCAGCCCAGCCAACGTCACCGAACAACTCTCCCTCCCAACTCTGCGCTGCTCCAGGGCCAGCAGGGCAGGCGCGTGACAGAGGAACTCTGAAAGGCCACCTCATGGAACCATAATTGGGATTCCCGCTCTCGCCCTCAGGCCTCCCTCCCTTTCCCAGCATCACGCTCTTTGGGCAGCTGCTGGGTTCAGCGAGTTGTGGGGGCGGGGGCAGGGGCGGGGGGCTAGGCGAGAACAGGACAGGGCCACAGGTTTTTACCCCTTGCTGCTACCTGGATCTTCCAGCTGAAATCCTGGCTATCAGTGCCCCAGGAGAGGAGAAAGTTGGCGGAGGGTGGAGAACAGGGTTCTGGGCGTGTACCAGCTTAGCCCCTTTCCCGGAGGACCCCACCACCGCAGGCCCTAATCCACTGTCAGCAGTGCCCAGTGGAGCTTGGCACTGAAGGAGGCACGTGGGGGAGGCGGGAGAGGGGAGCGGGCACGTGGTCCAGCCTTCCCAGCCCCGTGCACGCCCCCCGCCCCCCGTGAGGAGGGGTTTGGGGAGGTGGGGGCGGGCCCAAGCGGGGGCGGGCGGCAGGCGGCCGCAGCGGGAGCTGTCCGCCAGACCTAGTGCTGAAGTAGGCGCGGACGTGCCGGGTGCTTGGCGCGCGGCACCAAGCGCCCCGTGCCAGGGCCGGCGAAGACCATGGCGTTCATGGTGAAGACCATGGTGGGCGGCCAGCTGAAGAACCTCACCGGGAGCCTGGGGGGCGGCGAGGACAAGGGGGACGGGGACAAGTCGGCGGCCGAAGCGCAGGGCATGAGCCGAGAGGAGTATGAGGAGTATCAGAAGCAACTGGTGGAAGAGAAGTGAGTGGGATCCCTTCCTGGCTCCAACGACCCCCACCCCCACCCCCCCGCGCACACATACAAAGTCGCTTGGCCCACTCCTGGGCCAGCCTCAGGCCCCAATCCCCCGTCCCACTGTGTTCCTAGACACAGTGAGAGTCTGGAGAGGTGTCCTCTAGGCAGACCCCAGACCCACCCCATCTCAAACCCAGGACCCGCTCCAGCTTCATACTCTAGCCAAAGGGTGGGGGGAGGGGCGATGGAGCCTGGGGCGGGGAGGGGGTGCACGTGCATTTCTGACGAAATAAGTAATCCCTTAATCCGATCTGGTCCTGGCTGCCTATGTCTTCCAACTGGGGCTCCTCTGAGCCCGAGGCTCTTAGGGAAGCGGTGCAGCCACAGGGGCTTAGACTCATGGAGACAGATCCTGAGATGAGGGTGCTGGTAGATACTGAGCCTACCTGGGCTCCGGCAGTGCTGGGACGAGAGGCACTCAGAGCGGAGTTAGTGGCTGGACTCTGGAGCTCGGCTACTTGGATTCAGATCCTGGCTTTGCTTCTTATTAGCTGGGTAACTTTAGGCAAGTTAGTCTTTCTCTGCCTCCGTTTCCTCTTCTGGAAAATAGAGATGGTAATGATAATATATGTCTTATGAAGATTAAGTGACAATGCACATAAACTGTTTAGCACAGCACTTGGCACGTGGTAAATCCTGATAGCTATTATTTCACTTAATCCTGATAACAGTTTTGTGAGATGCAAAATCTTATCTCCATTTTACAGAAGAGGAAAGTAAGTGATTTACCCAAGGACATACCTAAAATGGTAGTGTGGCTGGGAGAAGAACCCACATTTGTCTCAAATTATTTTCCCCACACGACACAGCTTTTCAGAGAGGGAAAGAAAGATGGAGTCGAAGGCCACTAGAGACAAATATTAGAGTCTGCAGAGAGAGCCAGATGGTCGGACTCCCCTTCCCTCCTGGCTCAGCCCAGCGGTGGGTGCAAAGATGAGGACAAAGTGTGCTGTGATGGGGAGAGCCAGCAAACACTAACCTGGGTCGGTCAGGTCAGGAAGCCCTCCCTACACACCAGCTGACCACACACTCCCTACACCAAGCTGACCACACACAGGGACAGATGCAGCAGCTGCCAGGACTCAAAAGACCCCTTACCGCCTCCCTCACAGTCCGCCACTTCTCTCAGCACTTGCCATGATTCCACCCCTGGTGTCCCCGCAGGATGGAGCGGGATGCGCAGTTCACGCAGAGGAAGGCAGAGCGGGCCACGTTGCGGAGCCACTTCCGAGACAAATACCGGCTGCCCAAGGTAAGCTGGCCAGGTCTGCAAGGTGCAACCAGGACCCTGAGCTCCCGACCCTGGACTTCTTTGCCCCATTCTGGATACTGGAGTTCTTAGCTGTAAGCTCACAGGGAGCTTGGTTAGATCCTTCCCTCTCACATTCATTCATTCATTAATTCACAATTGACCAAGCCCCGGCAAGGGCCAGGGCTTGGCGCTGAAGGGAAGCCCAGTTCTCAGGGGACTGACAGGTTTGTGTTTCTGGAGCCAAATCCAGGCCTCTTCTCTCCTCCACCCCTACCTCCCCAACCCCAGAAAGCAGTAGATCTGACCACAGGGGTGAGTGCTCTTGAAAACCAGACTTTACTGCAGCGGTGAGTGCTCTCGGGGCTTCTGAAGATATATGGAGGGCAGGGTGGGGGAGAGAAGGCCACACCTTCTGTGTGCCAGGTACTTGACCTTCATATCCATATCTAACCTCCCCAATAATACTGCCAGGTAGCTATCACCCACATTTACAAACTAAGGTTTGGAGAGATTAAGGGACTTGGCTAAGGTCATACAACCAGTAAGTGATGGAGTTGGGATTAGTCCTCAAGCCTGTGAATCCTAAGCTTGCATTTGCTCCAGGACCCCAGGCCGCCTTCCATGGTATGGAGTCTGCCTACAGACAGCAAAGAACCCCCCTGCGCCCCTGGGCACCCAGCACTAGATGGGCATGTAGGTGTTCTGCTCCTGTTGCCTAAAGAGCACAAGCCACTCCCAGAATAGTGTGCCCAGAACTGTGCTAGACTCTGAGGGGAAAATACAAGTACAATGCTATAGCACTCCTGACCTTGATCTTCCACTTGAATCAAAAGATCATATATGAGAACATCACAGTCACTTATTCAACAAATATTTACTGAGCCCCCAGCTGCCTCTGACTCCCCACAGGGCACAGTCTTTTAGAAGTCTCTTGAAGGGAAAACCAGCCCAGAAAGCCTGCCTCACTGCAAACCCAGCTAGGAGCAGATGCTTGCACTGAGCATTTAAAAGACAAAACTCCTGGCATCAGGGAGCTCTGAGTCCAGTAAAAAAGGCAAGACTTTGATGCAACTGAGAAGGACACAAAGTGGAAAGCCCAAGTCCCTCTACCCCCCCCCCCCGAGGGACAGGGAATGCAATAGCCATCAGTAGGTGCTGTGCAAAGAAAGCACAGACATTGGAAGCAGTGACATGTTTTGAATCTAGCTCTCCCACTTCCTAGTTGTATGAGCTTGGGCAATTTAAGTTACCCCAAGTTATTTACTTGAAGTAAGTAACTTAAATTTAAAGTGAGTTATTTGCTTAAATTATCTGAGCCTCAATTTCCTTATTTGTGAAATGTAGATAACCATATACCTGTCTCAGCCAGGCGCGGTGGCTCACACCTGTAATCCTAGCACTCTGGGAGGCCCAAGGCAGGAGGTTTGCTTGAGCTCAGGAGTTCAAGACCAGCCTGAGAAAGAGCAAGACCCTGTATCTACTAAAAATAGTAAAAATTAGCTGGATTTGGTGGTGGGTGCCTGTAGCCCCAGCTACTCAGGAGGCTGAGGCAGAAGGATTGCTTGAGCCCAGGAGTTTGAGGTTGTTGTAAGCTAGGCTGACGCACTCTAGCCTGGGCAACAGAGCAAGACTCTGTCTCAAAAAACCAAAACCAAAAACAGACCAAAAAAACCCCAATATACCTGTCTCCCAGGGTTATCACAAGAATCAAGAGCAGTCAGCTCAATGTCAGCCCTATATCAGTGTTTGATAAATGGTACCCATCAGTATTACTGGTTACATCCTTTGGCACAATGACAGTCAGCACACAACACAGCCAACTGTCGCACTGTGTCCACTGGGTCTTTTCATTTTTCTTCACTTGCAGTGCTAGTCCTTCCCTGTCCCAGGGTGTGGTGAGGGGACAAAAGTGCAAGGGCTCCGTGTCCAGCCATCCAGTGCGTGATCCTGGGGTATGAGGGTGGGGGCGGAGCTCACTGCAACATGGGACCCAAGAGTCCAAGGGCCCGGCGACCCCGGCCAGGCCTCTTCCTGCCCCTCCACCCTGGGTCCTCACAGACCTCCGCCCCTTCCCACACCCTCTCCCCTCAGAATGAGACGGATGAGAGCCAGATCCAGATGGCAGGTGGAGACGTGGAGCTGCCCCGGGAGCTGGCCAAGATGATTGAGGAGGACACGGAGGAGGAGGAGGAGAAGGCCTCAGTCCTCGGGCAGCTGGCCAGCCTCCCTGGCTTGGACCTCGGCTCACTCAAGGACAAGGCCCAGGCCACCCTGGGGGACCTCAAGCAATCAGCTGAGAAGTGCCACATCATGTAACCAGTTCCCTGGAGTTGCCCACTGGGATGACCAGGGGGCTGGGCCCACACGAGGGCAGTGTCTCAACGTCCAGGGACCCATATCCTATTTTGGGCTTTGTGTCCCTTGCCCCACCCGAGCCCCAGAACCCTCTCATCCGTGCCCCAAGTCTGCCTTCCGGTCTCTCCCTCTCCACGGAAAGCAAAGTCCCTGTTCCTTACTCTGCCTCTCAGAACCCACCCCTACTTAGCCTGCGGAGCCTCCCAGGACCACAGCAACAGGCTCAGTCCTCTCTGGCCATGGCGCCAAGCCCCTGCACACAGGAGCGTCCATAGAGAGACACAGGGCACAGAAATTGGCGCGTGCAGAGGCGTAGGCCGCAGAGGCAGCCTGCACACACAGACACACACGCCAAGTCCAGCCCCGCCGGGTACCCCGCCCTCCAGACCCAAGACACAGATGCCCTCCGCAAACAAGGGTCCTGGGTTCAAGTTTCCACCTTTATTGTCCTTGACAGCCACTGCTCTTTCTGGGCCTCATTTCGTCATCTGTAAAATGGGAATAGACTGGATAATTTCTAAGACTCTTTCTGGCTTGGCCTCCCTGGCCTCTCAGAGCCAAGCCCATAGCCCTCCTCAGGCAGGGCAGCAGCTGCAGCCGTCCCCTCCAGTGGCTGCCACTGTGGGCACCGAGTGAAGCCATGTGAGGGCGGAGTGCCAAGGATGAAGCTGGCACTGAACAGTAGCCCAGGCGGCTCCAGGCCTTCTCTGGGCCCAGGGCCCAGGCAGTTTCTGTTCTGTTCCTATAGAGCTCTCTTCTGGATTCCATAGCTGGAATCTCCTCTCCTAGCTCAGTGGAAAATAAAACTCCCAAATGCTGTGCCCATCTTCCCACATCTTATTGACGCCCAGGAGTCTTGGAGTTCACAGCCCCTCGAGCCTGCCTTGGAGGGGTGTCCTTTAACTCCTCACCCACAGCTTCATGGGAGGGAGGGGACACCCAGTGCAGGAGTGGACGTGTCTTTCGTAGAATCCCTTCTGGCTCCACCCGTAAGATGCTCCAGTTCTGTCCTCTCAGGGCCCTTGGGGAGGGCGGGTTTCGGGCCATGTGACATAGGTCTGGGCTTTGAGGCGGACGTGGTAGCCAGCAGGACGCTGCTGTACAGGGGGCATTACTGAGACCACAGGGCTGTCTCTGGCACCTGTGCCTACACCCCCTCACCTTGGAGATGGAAGATGTAACAGAAAGAAGGCAGAGCAACTGCATTCCAGCCCGGCACTGCTGTGTGACTGTGAGCAGGTCCTTTCCCTCTCTGAGCCTGTTTTTGCTCCCTGTAAAATGAAGGGTTCCACCCCCCACGCTGAATAATAATAATAATGTTTCAAAGGGTGACCATGTATAAAGCCCTTGGCATGTGACAGGCCATATCAATAAATGGTGACTCATTTCTTTAAGAAATTCTTTAAGAAAATGAAGCCCCCACATCTGATCCAGCTCACCTGTGGCAGCAGGGTTTGTCCAGGAAACCAGCCAGGAAGTTCCCACGCAGGCCATCCCCAGGGCCCAGGCAGGAAGAAGGTGCTACGGGCAGGCCTTGGGTGCCCCCCTTGGGGTCTGAGTCCCTGGCCTGCTGCTGAGGTGCTGGCCCAAGGGGAGTCCGGCAGGGACTTACAGGCAGGAATGGACATCTTATCGTTTGGTCACAAGGGCAACGTTTCCATGAGGTCTCCTTTGTAAAATAAGAACAAGGAACATAAACCTGTTTGGTAGGTAATGTAGGGCAGGACAGGGAGAGGGCCGGGAGGGACACAGGCCCAGGACTGGGGCGTGCTGCCCGGCTGTCACACTTGGCTTCACTCTCCTGAGCATCCAGGGAAGGGGCCTGGGCCTCTGAGCTGTCCCTGGGCTGCCTCCTGCCCTTCTCATGCAAGCTCCAGGCTCAGGGCGCGTCAGCAGCAGGGCCCACGTCAGCACTCCGCCCTCCGGGGCCTTCCGCCTAATGGGACTGGACAGACCCCTTCTCCCTCAGCGCTTTGCAGGCCGAGAGGGAGAGGCAGGGTGGCAGCATTCGGGGCTGGGAGGCAGACTCACTGAACCCTGTCGAAGCAGGGCTGGCTGGGGCCTGGGGTCAGGGACTGGGGAGGGCTGAGCCTCCACACCTGCTCCCCTCAGCCTGAGAAGGGAACCTCAAGAAGCCCTGTCTGCACTGTTCCTGGAATGAGGCGGAGGCGGCTATGGGGCAGGAGCCCGTTCTAGACCCAGGCAGAGATGGGCTGGGGGCTCCCCGCTCTGTTGGCCTCCCCTCTTCCTCACCCTGTCCGTCAGCCTGTGCCCCCCTCATCTGTGTCCCCTCACCCTCTGCCTCGTTCCTGGCTCAGGGCCTGTGCTGCACCATGCCCTCAGCTGGCTCGGGCCTGTCCACCTGGAGCCCCTCTTCTGCGCCTGCCCCCACCGACAGCCCCAGGCCCTGGGTGCACAAGTGCCACTCTTCCTGTCCTGCTCTCCTCTCTGGACAATCATGTGCTCTCCACGAGCCACCAGCACCCAAACTTCCCTTTTCAGGGGGCCAAAAACCCTAGCATTTGTGCACCACAGTTTGGACTCTGATGCTCCGGGCCCCTCCCCCCTGCTCTTTTCCCTCCCTTTCTTCTTCTTGCAGGCAGTCTGGACACAGGAAGTACCAACTCATACTCTTGCAGGGCTGGGGAGGAGAGCTGGCTGGTCTGTCCCCCACCCCACTGCCCTTGGGGCTCTGGCTTCCCGTACAAGGATTTCAAGGAGCCCCTGCCCAGGGAGCCTGCAGCACCTTCTGCCGCCTCCCCCGCCAGACAGCTCAAGCCCACTTCCCAGTGGGAAGAGAGGTGTAGAGAGAACAAGTGACTCCCCTGAGGCCAGCTGGTCCCCAGGGAGGAGTTTGGGGGGGTGACCAGGGCTGGCTGCCTTTCCCTCGACAGCCAGATGGCTCCTCCTCAGACCCTGGAGGCCCCAGGCAGGCACGGGGACATCTGGGGCATGTTCCTCTGCTGAGCCGAGCGGCTGACAGGCCCATCCATCCAGCTGATGCGCAGCCCTGTGAGGTGGAGCTTGTCCTGTCTGCAGACCTGAGGCTAGGGTCGGGGTGGGAGCCACAGAGCCCACTGCTGGGCAGAGCTGTGCCCAGCCGAGTGAGGCTTGGGGGGGCAGGGGCCAGGGGCAGCGGTGTTGTTGAGGCTGCTCAGCCTCACTAAGAGCTGTACTTTCAGTGCGTGATCCCAAGCACATATGTGTCCCTGTGGGACCCGCAGGGTCTGTGAGCTCGTACCTGGCTCCCCCCGTTCCTGTGTGTCTGTGGGATTTCGAATGCGTAGGTGTGGGTGTGAGCTACTCTGGGGCCAGTGGTCACTGATGTGCCCCTTCCCTCCTCAGTGTTGGCCCATTTCCCTCTCAGGGAGGTTAGGGACAGCAATCTGGCCTCTGGGGACAAGAGCCCTTCCAGATGACCTCCTGCAGGAACAAAATTCTGTGTTCTTTCCTGTATCCCCAGTAGGCTGAAGGGGCAGACCGGGCCCAGGGACAGCTGGGTCCCCCAGTCTGCTCCGGAGGCCATCTGCTTCTCCTAGGGCTGGCGCCATGGGTGACAGGCCCAGGTGCTGGCTCTGAACTTGGGTGACTTGAGTATGGGCAGGGGGACCCTGAACACTGCTGGGGGGATCTACCCTGCTCTGGATACTTTCAAAGTGTTGAAGGTGAGAAGCAGAAGCAACTCTTGCTCCTAAGAGGAAAAATTTATTTTTTGAAAAGTGGATTTGCACGCTTCCCACAGGTCACTGCCCTTGGAGGGGAGCCCTGCACTGACAGCCCCTCCTGGGCCCGGCCTCCTGTTGGGCAGGCAGGCAGGTGGCTTAGCCTAGAGGCCGCCCAAATGCTCTGCCCAGGGAAGGGCCCTTCTCAAGGGCTCCCCCACCAGCCTGTCACCCCGTGGGGCCCGCGCCTCGCCACGCCCATGTGTGTAAGAATGTCAGGCCCATTCTGCACTGGCCAGTGCAGCTCCCACAAACAATCGGGTCTGTGGGCCCACTGTCACCCTGCACTTCAGTTGTCTTCCACCTTCTAATTCCCACCCCCAGCTGGACTCTTGCATTCCTCTTTCCTTCCCCTCACTTCCTGCATAGGGGCTTCCTTGTCTGGCCCATTTCCAGATAATGTGAAGTACGTTTCTCTTCCTAGATCTGAAAATAACACTTTACTAAATCTTTTTTTTTTTTTTGAGACAGAGTCTCGCTTTGTTGCCCAGGCTAGAGTGAGTGCCGTGGCGTCAGCCTAGCTCACAGCAACCTCAAATTCCTGGGCTTAAGCGATCCCCCTGCCTCAACTTCCTGAGTAGCTGGGACTACAGGCATGTGCCACCATGCCCAGCTAATTTTTTCTACTTTTAACATTTTACTGAATCTTACTGTGTGCCAGGCTCACTACAAATTCAGCTGGGGCACTTATCCTCATGCTCACGTTACAGAGAAAGACGCTACTTGACGGGCCCAAGCTTTAAGGCCAAGCAGCAGAGCCAGGGGCTCAGCGGCTCCTCTGCCTGGTGGGCTCCCGCCCCACACTGCCCCGCAATGGCCAGGCTTCAGGGAGATTAATTTCTTCCCGGGTCTGTTCCGCTCCTGGTATCCTGGTGGTCCCTCCCTGGCTGCCTGGGGATGTGCTCTCCCTCCTTTAAGTCCCCAGGGGTGCTCCCAACAGGTGCTGGTCAGACTGATGCCTGGCAGGAATGTAGGGACAGGGAAGGAGGCCAGGGCAGAGCCTGCTGGAAATGACCCCCGCTTGGGGGTGGCTGGGGTTGGGTATAAGCATGGCATCCCAAATGATACCCTCTTCCCCAATCAAGCTCACTGCTCACTCTGGCCTAGGGTAAGGGGGTGGGAGGCCAGGGGACCCTTCTGGGGGCAGCATTTTAGCCTGCACTCCTGCAAAGAGAGAAAGAGCCTTTCCTGGCTCTCACCTGTGCTCCCCTCCCCCCAGCTCCCTGGGTGGTGACGGAATGGCTCATTTGGCAGCCTGACCAGCCTGACTATCCTGGATCCCAGGGGCTGAGGGCAGGAGGCAGATGTGGCCATCGCCCTCCAGTACCACACTCCATGACCCCCCAGCCTTACCTGGGGCTCCCCAGCCTTTGCTGCAGCCCCTCCCACCTCAGCCTGTGAACAGCAGCTACCTTGCTGTTTTTCCGAGGGCAAGAAGAGATGCACAAGTAGAGAAAATAATTTAACAGGTAAATAATGAATGACACTCGTCACAGGCAGCCTCCTGTAGGGAGGACAAACACTCGTCCCAAGGAGGCATTTAAGGGCAGAAAGGTTAGAAATCACCAACACCCGCTCTGATTATTGAAAAGACACCCTAGAGTAACTGCAGGCGTGGACATTCTCCTCCAGGTTCAATTCACCATTATCTGAAGCACCCTGCTGTGGCCACAGCAGCCCCACTGCAGAGATGGGAGGCCACCCAGGCCCAGAAAGGAGAAGGGGCTTGCCAGGGTCACACGCTGGGATGGTGGCAGTGTCAGGCATAGAACTGGGTATCCCAGACTGGGGCCCCTGCAGCCTGATGGCAGTCCCCAAGCTTCCCCTCTCAGGCCCAACTCTAGCACAAGGCCACTCTGCGGCTAGAGGTGTGTTCCCCGAGAGGAACGGAGTGGGCAGGGATGAGGACTGAGGACCCCTCCCTGCATTCCCCAGGCCAGGGCAGGAACAAGGCATGGGTTTCCCAAATTTGCCCTACCCCTAGAAAGGGTGTTATTGTCATGCTTGGAGGATTAAGTTAAAGTGCTGAGATGGCGGGCAGATGGGAGCTCCCAGCAGACTGGCGAGTTCTGTGAGGCTGGGTACACACTGTGGGCGGGGTGGTCCCTGAAGGGTCTTGGAGTGTCCCATTTCAGTGCAAGAAGGGAGGCGAGTTGGAATAAAGGCTTCCAGGAAGGGCAGGCACAGGGCCTGGGTGCTTGCTGGCAGGGAGACGGCAAGAGCAGGAGTGCCCTCCAGGGGGCCTCTTGCCCTCTTCTCAGAGCAAAAAAGTGATAGAAGGCTTCGTGTCTGAAATCAACAGGCATGGGACCAGCAACTGCCAAGTAACAAAGGTCTCATGAAAGAAACACTGTTCTCCCAGAGTCCTGCCCCCATCCCCGGGGCCGGGCCCAGGGCTCCCAGCACACAGCATGGGTGGCCAGTCCCTCTGTGGGGCACACAATAACCTGAGGGAGGCTGGGGACCCAGGACATGGGGGTCCCAGAGCTGTCTATTCAGGAAGCCTGCTCCCCAGGGTTGCAGAGGGCCACTTAATTTGGGTCATCAGCCTGGGTTGGTCACCCCTCCACTCCAGGCGGCTCATGGTCTGTCCAGCCGTCCTCTGGGGTCACTGCAGGGTACATGCTACAGAGGAGTAAAGGAGGGCGGTCACAGGTCTGGCAGGAGAGCAGCGTCCAGGGCCAGCCCAGCTCTCACCCTCCCTTGGATGGGGGTCAGACCCAGGGCAGGACTCACAGCTACGAACAGACTCTGACAGCCCTTCTCTGTCCATGGTCTCTGCTTCCCAGCGAGACTCCCGCACCTGTGGGACGTCAAGACGGCACGAGGGGTAAGGCAGCCACAGACACAGGGCCAGAGAGGCCTTCAGATAGAGACGGGGGCAGACAGCGACACGTGGAGAAAAGCAGAACCCCTTGCCCCAACACAGCCCCCCACATGCCCACCTTGACCTGCTCCTTCAGGTATTCAGCCCGAGCCATGAGGCTCTGCACCTGCCGAGGGAAGACAGCCTTGGGTGTGCACAGGCTTCCAGCTGAACTCTTCCTTGCCCCGGTGCTCCCCAGAACCCCTGCTCCATCAGAACCACCTCCCGAGTCCCTCGCCTGCTCCTTCTTCTGGGAAGCCCTCCTGACTGCAGCAGCCCAGCAGACTCCACTGGGTCCCCGGATCCTCCGTGGCCCTGATCTGAGCGCCTTGGCCCTAATGGTCTCACTCCTGGACCTGGAACACCCCAAGGGTAGGGGATTCCAGAGGGAAGCCAAGGAGGTCTCCCCGGACCAGAGTAAAGGGGAAAGAGGAACGCTCCAACCCTCTCATCCGCAGTGGGCACCTCGGCATGAAGCAGCTCCCGCCTCCGACCTGATGGCTCCGCTGAAAAGAGAGGGCGTGTGGTGAGGGCGGGGCGGCTGGGGGCTGGTGGGCTGTGGGGAGGGGCTCACCTGCCAGCAGCAGCAGCAGCTCCCCCAGGCTGCGCTGGTACAGGTCCAGGGCCTCCTGCTCCCTGCCAGCTTCCTCCTCCTGCAGCACAGCGACACCAGGTCATTCAGGGTCATGGCCAGAACCCCTCCCTGCCCCACCAGGATCCCTCCCGCTGGCACCAACCTTGGCCATGGCAGCCGAAGCCACCTCCAGGGCAGCTGAGAGGCGTGGCTTGTCCCGGGCCATCTCTGAGAAGAAGGGCACGTGCTCAGGTCAGGGGCGGGACGCAGCCCGTTCTGTCCTCACAGGAGGCCCAGCTCAACCTGCCTCTGCGTCAGGCTGGAGGGAGGTCTGCTGGGGCCCTGGCGGGCCAGCCAGGAGTTGGAGCCTACCTCTGAGCAGGTCTCTCGCAGAGGTCCCCTGCCTAAGCAGGGCCCGATTAGAGGAGGAGACGACGGCCTTGAGCTCCTCGGCCCGGGACACATACTGGCCCACCTGTAAGCGGGAAAGGGCCTGAGGAAGAGGTGTCCCACCACCTCCCCGACCAGCACCCACTGCCAAGTTCTCCCTCTGGGTCCTCCGTGACAAGCTATAATGACGTCAGGGGTCAACTGAGCCTGGCCTGCCACCTTCCCAGCCCCATGCATGTTTCAGGACAGGAAGCTCCGATTCTGGGAGAGCCTTACCCTCGCTCATGTCCTTACAGGGACTTGACCCACCCACCTTTGCCTTAATCGCCTCCTTCCGCTGGGCATCCACTTCATCTGCAGAAGGTGGGGTTTACATGAGGAGTCTGGTGGGACCCCTGGCCCACCCAAACCCTCCAGAATCCCCAACTTCCAGGTTTATGCTGCTTTGTCTTCTGCAAAACTCTGGATGGGTAACTCCCGACTGCAGCCACCGAAGCTACGGATGACCCCCCTGTGCACCCAGGGACTCCAGACATAGCCTGGGACTCACAGTGCAGGGCGGGCACAAAGAAGTCCAGAGCCTTGCAGTAGAGGGACAAAGCGGCTGCCGCGTCCCCCTCCTGGTCCTTCTTCACAGCCTGCACCACCAGGGCGGTCTGGGGACCAGGCAGACCAGGATTCAGGCCACCTCCCTAGCTGCCCTGGCCGGAAGAAGGTCAGCTGTCCCGAGCCCACCCTCTGCCTCTGCTGGATGAGTCATCCATCACCACCAAAGGTGGCAGATGAGATCCCCAGCCCGTCTCCACAGCCCTGCTCACTGCTTGTGCCAGGCTCTCCCCGCTGGGCATGTGCTCCAGGTCCACCCAGGGGTGGGCAAAGAAGTCCTGGAAAGAGATGCGACGGCTGGGGTCCCGCTCCAGGAGCCGCTGCAGCAGGTCCCGGCAGTCTTGGGACAGCAAGGGCCGCAGGGGGAGCTGCGTGGGGGAGCAGGGTGACAGCTCACACTGGGTTCCAGTGCCACCGCCCCCAGCCCGGGGTTCAAGCCCAGAGCAAGGACCGCTCGAGCCCAGGATTTTGAGGTTGCTGTGAGCGAGGCTGACGTCACAACACTGTAGCCCGGGCAACAGAGTGAGACTCTGTCTCAAAAAAAGAGAAAGCCCAGAGATATGTGTCTAACAGGGAGACTCTGTGGCCAGGAGGAACAGGGTGGGTGCAGGAGTGGGCACCAGCGGAGAGTCAGGCCCCCTCCCCAGGCGCTCACTGGGCTCGGCTGCTGGAGAACCCGGGCAGAGTCCTGATCCCCCGCCCGGACCGTGCTCCTGCAAAGGCTGAGCTTGGTTCTGCCTTGCTCTCCTCCCACAGGGCCTGCTAAACAGTCTGTGGGGCAGGCCTTTTGCTGCCTGTGGGGGGCTGACCTGAGTCCCTGGGACTTGCAGTCCAGAGCATTACCCCGCTGCCGTCAAGGTGGTCTGACACCCACACTCCGAACTGCGCAGGCGCAGTGTGTCTGAAACCTGGAGCCCTGGCTCCCTCCGTCCCCCACGGTCGCTAGGCCCTGCCAGACCTACCTCAATGACCTGGCTGCTGCGGATCTTCTCCTCCAGCTCTGAGAAGGACCTGGAGGCAAACGGGGGCTGCCCAAAGAGGGCTTCTGTGGAAGGGAGGCAGAGAGGAGGCTGGGAGGGGATGGGGTCAGCCTGGCCTGGCCCACTCCTGGGGATGGGGCCTGATGCCACTCAGAGCCAGTAGAGTCAGAGTGCTCACTAGAACCCTCCAGGAGTGGCCCAGAGAAGCCCAGCCTGAGGACACATAGGGCAGGCCTCAGGGTGAGGCAGGGAAAAGAGGTCTCACCATACAGGATGACCCCCACGGACCAGAGGTCCACACGGGCATCGTACTGTCGCTGACACACCATCTCGGGGGCCATGTAGAGGGGGGAGCCACGGAGCACGTGCTTCTCATCCCATGGGGACATGTGCTGTGCAAAGCCAAAGTCTGCAGGCAAGAGGCCAGACAGCAGGGCTCAAATTCCAGCTGCTTCCACTCCTGGCCTGTGACGTCTCAGCCTGGGCTCCTCCCCGCCCCCCAGACACACCAGGGTCAACCCTACTTCCTAGTCTATGCTCATCATCAGCCTGGAACGCCCTCCTGTGTCTCGCTCTGCGGCTGTAAATCCTAGCCATCCTGCACAGCTCCTATGGGCACCTTTTCCCCAGGAAGCGCACCCGATCATACCAGCCATGCGGACAAGGGCCCCCACCTTCTCACTGCCCCCCAGGCTTAGGTTACACCATTCTCTGGCCTCTAGCATCAAGTCTTGTTCAAATCTTATCAGGGGTGGCAACCAGCACCTCCCCCAGTGCACACACTCCTATGCTGCCACAGACAGGGTCATGATGACTGACCAAGTCCCGTCCCTGATCACAGACTGATTTGTGATGCTGGTCCACAATGAACCCTGGCATCATTTTGTTCCCAGACTGAGCCTGAAACCTGGACACACAGGACCAACGTTGGCCACAGACTGAACCCTCACTCCACCCATTAGGCTGCTGGACTTCAGTGTGGATGGCCTGAGAAAGCTCCTACCTTTTAGTGACAGGGTCATTCCTGGACCTCCAAGGCTATTATTGCTTGTTGACTCAACAGAGGACTCTATGAGAAGAGGGAGGCCCCTGCACACCCACTCTCCAAACCTCACCCCTGCTGTTCCAGACTCACACCTGCCAGTTTCAGGTGAGGTTTCTCCAAGGAGCTCAGCAGAATGTTCTGTGGCTTCAGATCCAGGTGGGAGATATTCCGTTCATGCAGAAACTGCAGGGCACTGGCTGGGGAGTGGGACCCATGCAGAAACAGAGGTCAGACCCTGCCTGCCTCTCACCTCCCCTGGCCTCCATCTGCCTCATCTAGCCTGTTCAACCCCAGTTCCAGGCTGGTTGGTCCACGGAATGCTATACATATAAGCACAAGGCTCCCACCACTTTGAAGAGTTTGACACCCTGCCCAGAGCATCCACCTTCCTCCCCTCTGCTCCTTCACAAGTCTCCCCTCCTCCAGAAGCTTCCCTGGGTGCCCCAGCCCTTTAGGATCTTCCTCTTTCTATTTATTTATTTATTTAGAGACAGAGTCTCACTCTGTTGCCCAAGCTGGAATGCCATGGCATCAGCCTCACTCACAGCAACCTCAAACTCCTGGGCTAAAGTGATCCTACTGCCTTAGCCTCCAGAGTAGCTGGGACTACAGGCATGCGCCACCATGCCCGGCTAATTTTTTCTATATATTTTTAGTTGTCCAATTAATTTCTTTCTATTTTTAGTAGAGACAGGGTCTTGCTCTTGCTCAGGCTGGTTTTGAACTCTTGACCTTGAGCAATCCTCCCACCTAGGCCTCCCAGAATGTTAGGATTATAGGTGTGAGCCACGGCGACGCCTGGTCGGATCTTCCTTTTTTCATTAGCACTGCACTGGGTCCTACCCACTTGGCCCTGGAATGTTCCACAAGGTCCTTAAGTTGCGTTCCACACTGTGGAAACCTGAACTCTGCACAGGCTGGGCTCCTCCCTTGTCTCTCTCATGGTATCCTTAGCTAAGGACAGCCACACAAGAAAGACAGGGCCCTAAAAGCCCAAGGAGGCAACTTTACAGTGTGCCAAGGCTCTAAGCCTGTGCAGAGAACATGGCCTTCCCATGTGTGGGGCTGGGGTCAGAGGCTTTTACCCAATTGCTGCATGAAGACACGAGCCACCTTCTCAGGCAGAATCCTGCGGGTATGGATGAAGCGAGACAGGTCGCCCCCTGCGCAGAACTCCATGATGAGATAGATGTTGTCGCTGTCCCACTGTGGTTAGAGGCAGGCAGCCTGAGGTGAGTGTCTCTCCTCCAGCCCGCTTTGGGAGTATCCCCACCCCGGCCCGCACCTGGAAGTCCTTCAGCTGCACGATGTGGGGGTGTCGAATGCCCTTCAGGATCTCGATCTCGGTCAGGAGGTTTTCCACCGATGCCTTGTTCAGACTTTTCTTGGCCACACACTTTATGGCTACTACCTCGCGTGTATCCTTCTAGGGGGACAGGGTTTGGGGGCTCTGCCTTGAGCAGCCAGGACCCATGCCTGGCTGGAAGGGTTCGGGTTCCGTCTAACCCCAGCCCCTCCCTCCCTGGGCCGACCCACCCCACGCCAGCATCCAGGCTTCCCAGCTTCCCTTCGCAGGCCAATGAGGCACCTGCATTCTGGAATCCTGGCTTCCCAACCCAGCCTGGCATTCTCCAACCCTCTGCCACACAGCCCGCTCCGCTGCACTCTAGAGTGCCCCGCAGAGGCATGTCACCTCTTCGTTCTAGAACTGCCCTCTCCGCCTCCTAACTGGGTCCCGCCTTCTAGAGCCCTGTCCCAGACTCCTCCCAGCGCACCTGGTGGCCTCCGTTTTGAGCCTGTTCTTTAGCCACTGACACCCAGGCCCCAGCGACCCTCCAGACAAGACAGGTGTGTGTAGGAGAGCTAAGAGAGGCGGTCAGCTCCTCCGCCGAGTCAGACCGCGCGAGGCGGCCGGCGGCCCTGGCTGCTCCCGCCCTCCCCAGCCGGCACCCCCTTGGGCTTGCTGGGGCTGGCGGGCGCCCACACTCACCTTGGCGTAGGCCTTGTACACCGTGGCGTACGTGCCGCTGCCCAGGCGCTCGGTGAGGATGAAGCCGTGCAGGCGCGGCGGCCCCCACGCCGGCCCCGCCATGCCGGCCGCCCGCGGCGCACGCAGGACCCGGGCTCCCCGCGCCGCCCCCAGCCAGCCCGCCGGAAGTGCAGCGCCGCGCGGGGAGGCCGGCGGGCGCGACCCCGCCCACTCCGGGGCTCCTCCCCGGCACGACGTCACGCGGCCCAACGGTCCCTCCCTGCAAGCCCCGACTGGAGACGCTGAGGCCACCGCGGGCCGAGCGGAGGCGAGGGAGGACTCGAGGACGGCAGGCGCAGATGCGCCTAGAGATCGCCCACGCGAGGGCGGGAGGGGGGCCCGGCGCAGCGGGGCTGTGGGGTGGCGGGGGGACTCACGGAGGCCCCCTGGAGTTCCCCCCCAAAACCAGCCACCCTAAAAGTAGAGGCACAGGGACAAGAAATTGCCTCTGGAAAGTCGCCTTCCCTGAGGCTCAAGGCTCCCGGCTCCCAACTCCATTTCACTCTTCTGAGTTGGGGCTCGAAGGCCTGTCACAGACCAGCCAGTAAGCATCTTAATGTCCCCTCTCACCTGTGCTAGGCACGCCTCAGCCCCTAACACTACGGGCCACCCAGTCCTCCCAAGTCCACCAGACATAAGAACCAATGGTGTCTGAAAATGTATTATTTTTTATTTAAGCACAAAAATTGAGACATATACATTTGTACATGAAGAAAAAATAACCAGAAAGGACTTTACAAAATCCTTGTCGCTGCCCTTATCCAGGGATTCAGGGCCTGCCCCAGCTGGCAGACAACCTGAGGGCTGCCTCAGGGTGGGCCCAGGTCCGAGAGGCAGGGGGTGACCAGCTTTGTGAGAACTCCTGTAGCCTCTGGAGGACAAAGTGCAGGTTCTGACGATGGTCTCCTAGGTGCATGTCACAGAAACACAGCTCCTGAGGAATCCCCAGGGTGAGTGGAAGGTGACCTAGACTCAGGGAATGGGGAACCCATCGCAAGGTGTCCCATCAGTGCCTCAGTCCTGCATCAAGGATGCAGCTCTGGACTGACTCCTGCTGCCCTTCCTAGTCACACAAGCCAGATAATGCTGGGGATGGGGGGTGCAAATTAAGGCCAAGGCAGAAGGCAGCAGACCCTCAGGACAAGAGGAAGTCAAAACAAACAGTACCAGGACAGTCAGACCCCACCCTCCTGGACAACTGCCAACAGCTGGGCAGGACAACTTAGGGTTGGCCAGTGTCCTCCTGTCTCTCCCCATCCCCAAACCCCAACCAACCACAGTGCACAAGGTGCTGCCCACGGCAGGAGGGTACAGGGGCCTAAAGGGCTGTGAATCTATCAGTGAGGAACACGAGGCAGGGGAAGCCTGGAGACCCCCAGAGAGATCTGGGAACAGAGCCATCCACCTGCTCAGACTGCAGCTCCCCTAAAGTGAACCAGCCTGGGCAGGAAGGACAGGGCTGCGGAGCCAGATTCAGGCCACGCCTGCTGGGGGAGGAGTGGAGTCTCAAGACCCTGGCAGAAAACTCCAGCTGGAGTGATCCCAGGTCAGCTAGCGATCCCAAGTGTGTGGGGGTGTCTGTGAGTGTACAGGGGAAGAGAACTTCAGTCCCACTGCTTCTGGAGAGACAAAAGAATCCTACCAAACCACCACTAGAGAAGAAAAGACAGTTTTTGTTTTTTTTTTTTTTCTTCTGTGTAAAAAAAGTCCCTGTCCCTCCCTTCCCTTCCAGGGAGAGCTGGTTGCTGAGGAAGGAGGAAGAGCCACAGTGAGACCTTCACCAGGTCTGTGCTGGGCAGAACCACTGCATAAGGCACCCACGGAAAGTGCAGCTCAGAAGGCAGGTGAGAGGATAGGCGAAGGTAGAGGCAAGAGAGTAAAGAGGATTAATTCCCCTGGAAGGCTCCTCGGGCCGCAGATGAGGCCGCACTGCGGAAGGTTCTGTTGCTGAAGATGCCCTGGGAAAACTCCTCCTGGGCCTGCTGGAAGCTGGCCCCCGTCCGGCGGTACAGGGAGTGCACCTGGGGAAGGAAGGGAGGTGAAAGGAGCCCACCAGGAACCCTGCCATCCAGGTTATACTCTCAGAGGGGTCACCAGGAGCCCAACACTGCCTGACCCCACTCCCCCAGAGCCTTGGGGAAAGGTGCTGCATCTTTGGGGGCCCAGGAGACGCAGCTGCGGTGGTAAAACATCTTGTGGCAAAAGCAGGAGACAGGTGCCTGCTTCCTCAGGTCTGCAGTCACCCAGACCCCAGCACTCACCCGCTTCAGGAGGAAGAGTGAGAGCACGGCACAGAGGGTAAAGAAGCCGGCCACCACCATCATGATGACTGACACGGCCAAGGACTCTTCCTTCAGCGTGGACAGGGCTGCAATCCAACCACTACAAAGGAAAGAAGCCAGAGGGGGCAAAGTGGGAGTGGGTCCCCCAGGAGTCCCCACGAGGGGCTCTTCTCCATGTGGCTGCTGTGTCCTGACCACCACCTCAGCATCGCTGAGCGCAGGGAGCCCTGAGACCCAGAGCTCTTACCCGTGAGAGCCCAGGCCTCCATGAAGGCTCATAGAGCCACACTGCCCCAGCGTGTCCTCCCCCAGGGCCTCAGAGATAGATTCACATGGGGAATCTTCTGGCTGTATGAGGTCTAGAGGGAGGATGTGGTTGCTGCCTATATGGAATCAGGAGGAACACTGGGTGGGCCTTTTCCTGCTGCTTTGGGGTTGGGGGCATGGAAAGTCTGGCTGCTCGCTCCTAAGTATCTGCCCTCTTAGGGCAGGAAGACCACTGGCCAACCTGTTGCATTCATGTTGTCACCTCAGCTCCTCCCGCCAGTTACCTCCTGATGACCCTTAGTTGTCCTCATCTGTAAAAGGGTATCCTCACATTTCCTGATTTCAACTTACTATGAAGCTACAATAATCAAAGCCATGTGGGACCTGCATAAGGACAAACATAGATCAATGGATCAATGGAATAGAACTGAGAGTCCAGAAATAAACACATACATCTGTGGTCAATTAATTTTTGACAAGGGAGCCAAAACCTTTCAAAAGAGAAAGAACGGTCTCTCCAACAAATGTACTAGAACAACTGGATATCCACATGCAAACAAATGAAGTTAAATCCTTACTTTAACCATATACAAAAATTAACTTAAAATGGATCAAAGACTGTTTCTCCAAAGAAGATATACAAGTGACCAACATCATTAGACATTCAGGAAATGCAAATCGAAACTATAATGAAATGCAATGAAATACCACATCTCTAGTTGGCTATAATTTTTTTTTTTAAAAAAAGGGAAAAAAAGGAGGCTGGGCACAGTGGCTCACACCTGTAATCCTAGCACTCTGGGAGGCCAAGGCAGGCAGATCGCTCAAGGTCAGGAGTTCGAAACCAGCCTGAGCAAAAGCAAGACCCTGTCTCTACTAAAAATAGAAACAAATTAATTGGCCAACTAAAAATATAAAGAAAAAATTAGCTGGGGCCAGCCACGGTGGCTCATGCCTGTAATCCTAGCACTCTGGGAGGCTGAGGTGGGCGGATTGCTTGAGGTCAGGAGTTCGAAACCAGCCTGAGCAAGAGTGAGACCCCGTCTCTACTATAAATAAAAAGAAATTAATTGGCCAACAATAATATAGAAAAAATTAGCCAGGCATGGTGGCACATGCCTGTAGTCCCAGCTACTTGGGAGGCTGAGGCAGGAGGATCGTTTGAGCCCAGGAGTTTGAGGTTGCTGTGAGCTAGGCTGACTCCATGGCACTCACTCTAGCCTGGGCAACAAAGTGAGATTGTCTCAAAAAAAAAAAAAAAAATAATAATAACTTGAAATAGCTCCTGAAAAAAGAACAAGAAAAATAAGAAAAATGATAATTAAAAAAAAAAAATTAGCCAGGCACGGTGGCACATGCCTGTAGTCCCAGCTACTCAGGAGGCTGAGGCAGAAGGATTGCTTGAGCCCAGGAGTTTGAGGTTGCTGTGAGCTAGGCTGACTCCACAGCACTCTAGCCAGGCAACAGAGCGAGACTCTGTCTCAAAAAAAAAAAAAAAAAGTTTCAAAAAAGGGTTAAAAGGAAAATAACAAACATTAGTACTATCATTATGTCTTCCAAAAAGCACATGTGAATGGTTTGAATGTGCCCCCCCAAAAAAAAAACAATGTGTTGGAAATTCAATCCCCAATCTAACAGTGTTGGGAAGAGGGACATAATTGGAGGTATTTAGGTCATCAGGGCTCCACCCTCAGGAATGGATTAATGCCACTTATAAGAGGGGTGGGGCTTCACCTTCAATCTCTTGCTCTCTCTTACCATGTGATTCCTTCCACCATGTTACGATATAGCAAGACGGCCCTCAATAGAGGCAGCCTCTCAGTCTTGGACTTACCAGGCTCCAGAACCATTAACCAAATAAACTTCTATTGTTTATAAGTCACCCAGTCGGGCGTATTCTGTTATAGCAGCACAAAATGGACCAAGACAGTTGGTGAGGACGTGGAGAAACTAGAACCCACACCTATTGCTAGTGGGAATGTAAACTGGTTCAGCCGCTGTGGGAAATAGTTTGGTGGTTCCTTAATTAAACAGACCAGGCACACTGGCTCACGACTGGAATCCTAGTATTCTGGGAGGCTGAGGTGGGAGGATCACTTGAGGTCAGTAGTTCAAGACCAGCCTGAGCAAGAGCAAGACCCTATCTCTACCAAAAGTAGAAAAATTGGCTGGGTGTAGTGGCATGCACCTATAGTCCCAGCTTGAGCCCAGAAGTTGGAGGATGCAGTGAACTATGATGATGCCACTGCACCCCAGTCTGGGTAACACAGCAAGACCCTATCTCAAAAAAAAATTGAGTCAAACTCATAAGCATGGAAAAAAAAAACTTGTACACAAATATTCATAGCAGCACTATTGACAATGGTAAAAAGATAGAAATAATTCAAATGTCTATCAATAAATGGATAATCAAAATACAGGATATCCAGGCTAGGTGCAGTGGCTCACACCTGTAATCCCAGCACTTTGGGAAACTGAGGCAGGATGATTGCTTGAAGCTAGGAGTTTAAGACAAGCCTGGGAAACATAGTGAGACCCCACCTCCACAAAAAATTTTTAAAAATTAGTAGCTGGGCGTGGTGGCACGCATCTGTAGTCCCACCTACTCGGGAAGCCGTGGCAGGAGGATCACTTGAACCCAGAAAGCTATAGTGAGTTATGCTCATGCCACTATACTTGAGCCTGGATAACACAGTGAGACCTTGTCTCTTTCTTTTCTTTCTTTTTTTTTTTTGAGATAGTCTCGCTTTGTTGCCCAGGCTAGAGTGAGTGCCGTGGCGTCAGCCTAGCTCACAGCAACCTCAAACTCCTGGGCTCAAGCGATCCTCCTGCCTCAGCCTCTTGAGTAGCTGGAACTACAGGCATGCGCCACCATGCCTGGCTAATGTTTTCTATATATATTAGTTGGCCAATTAGTTTCTTTCTATTTATAGTAGAGACGGTGCTCGCTCTTGCTCAGCTGGTTTGAATCTCTGACTTCGAGCGATCTACCCGCCTCGGCCTCCCAGAGTGCTAGGATTACAGGCATGAGCCACCATGCCTGGACCTCCTTTTTTTTGAGACAGTCTCACTCTGTTGCCCAGGCTAAAGTGAGTGCCGTGGCATCAGCCTAGCTCACAGCAACCTCAATCTCCTGGGCTCAAGTGATCCTCCTGCCTCAGCCTCCTGAGTCGCTGGGACTACAGGCAAGTGCCACCATGCCCGGCTAATTTTTATATATATGTGTGTGTATTATTATTTTATATTTATTTCAGCTAATTCCTTTTATTTTTTTTAGTAGAGACGGTCTCGCTCTTGCTCAGCTGTCTTGAACTCCTGAGCTAATGATCCTCCCACCTTGGCCTCTTGGAGTGTTAGATTACAGGTGTGAGCCACCACACCCTGCTGAGAAGTTGCCTCTTAAAAAAAAAAAATACAAGATACCTATGCAATAGAATGTTATTCGGCCATAAAACAAATGAAGTAGCCGCGCGTGGCTCACGCCTTAACCCTATGCACTCTGGAGAGCTGAAGTGTGCGTTGGGATTGCTAGAGCCAGAGTTCGAACCAGCCTGAGCAAGAGCAAGACCCCGTCGTCTTAAGGTATAAATAGAAAAAATTAATTGGCAACTATATATATATAGAAAAAATTAGCCGGCATTGGCAACTGAGCTGTTAGTCCCACCTACTCGGGAGGCTGAGGCAGGAGGATCGCTAGAGCCCAAGAGTTTGAGGTTGCTGTGAGCTAGGCTGACGCCACGGCACTCGCTCTAGCATGGGCTGGGCAACAAAGCGAGACTCTGTCTCAAAAAAAAACCAAAAAAAACAAATGAAGTAGTCAAAGTTTATGTTGGGTGAGAAAATTAAATTTAAAAAAAGTAAATAAAAATAAATAAAGTACTAACGCATAGTACAACATGGATAAACCCTGAAAACATTATGCTAAGTGAAGGAAAGCAGACAGGAAAGGCTACATATTTTACGATTCCATTTATACGAAATTTCCAGAATAGGTAAATCCATAGAAACAGAAAGCTAGTAAACTATGCCAGGTTTGTTGGTAAGAAGAAATGAGATGCCTGCTTACTACATATGGAGTTTCTTTTTTTTCTTTTTCTTTTTGAGACAGAGTCTTATTCTGTTGCCCAGGCTAGCGTACTGTGGCATTAGACTAGCTCACAGCAACCTCAAACTCTCAAACTCCTGGGGTTAAGTGATCTTCCTGCCTCAGCCTCCCGAGTAGTTGGGACTACAGGTGCTCACCACCACCACACCCAACTAACTTTTTGTTTCTGCTTTTGCCTAGCTAATTTTTACTTTCTTTTTTTTTTTGAGACAGAGTCTCACTTTGTTGTCCAGGCTAGAGTGAGCGCCATGACATCAGCCTAGCTCACAGCAACCTCAGACTCCTGGCCTCAAGCAATCCTGCTGCCTCAGCCTCCCAAGTAGCTGGGACTACAGGCATGCGCCACCATGTCCGGCTCATTTTTCTAATATATTAGTTGCCAATTAATTTCTTTTTATTTATAGTGGAGATGGGGGTCTCGCTCTTGCTTAGGCTGGTTTCCAACTCCTGACCTCGAGCAATCCGCCCGCCTCGGGCTCTCAGAGTGCTAGGATACAGGCGTGAGCCACGTGCCCGCCTAATTTTTCTATTTTTAGTAGAGATGGGGTCTTGCTTTTGCTCAGGCTGGTCTCCAACTCCTAGTCTCAAGTGATCCTCCTGCCTCGGCCTCCCAGAGTGCTAGGATTATAGGCTCCCACTGTGCCCAGCCTGGAGTTTCTTTTTGGGGTAATAAAAATGTTCCAGAACTAAATAGTGGTGATGACTGCATAACATTGTAAATATACTAACTAGAGTTGTATAGTTTTAAATGGTTTCAGTGGTAAATATAATGGTAAATTTTATGTTATGTGTATTTTATAATTTAAAAAGGGGGATTATACCTATCCACCCATGGATGTTGTGAGGTTCCCCTAGAAAATGGTCACAGAGGGCTTTGGAAAGGCATTAGGAGACTGCAGAGCTCACTGAGGTAGACCCGGCAGGACAGTGAGGGCAGAGCCAGGGTCAGAACTCGAGAGTCCTGATTCCCAGACAGGTGCAAACAGCAGTCATGAGTCATAGCTCTTCCACCAGGACCTCACATAGGGCAACAAACGACGGAACTGAGTCATTGGTCAAAAGGGGCCAGATTAGAGAAGGAAGAGGGGTGGTAGGAGAGCAGTGTGCACTTGCTCGGAGGGCAAGGGGAGGCAGGCCTCCTCTGCCCACTGCTCTGGACTTGCCAGCTCCGCCAGAGAGAGGGGACAACAAAATAGTGTGAGCCCTTCCAGGCTCAGGCACTCTGCCAAGTGTCAGCCTGACCTTTCTGCAATGCTCCCTGTGCACTGGGGCAGAAAGTAAACATCAGCCATCAGCTTTTCTTTTGCGATTAATTTTGAGCTGAGGACTGAAGTGCCCAGGAAACTCAATCCAGCCACATGCTCAAAGAGAGCAGGAGCAGCGGGAAGGAGCCTGTCCAGGGGAGGCTAGGGCCCCGTCTCCTGAAGTTACAAGGCCTCTGGGAAAAGTCACAGTTTAGGGTCTGTCATGCACCAGCCTCCAGGTTGTGGCAGGAGTAGAGGCTGCGACGCAGGGCACAGCTCTGCGAGCCTAAAGAGCCAAGCTAAGTTTGCCCACAAGACCCCAGAAAGTGGAGAGTGAGGAAAGAGTGCGTGGCTACGGGAGAGGAGGCACAGGCAGATCTGAGCCGGCCCACCCAGTTCTCTCAGTTCTTTCCCTGCCGCAGGGGAAGTGGGTTATCTGCTGGTCTCGCTGGGAGCTAAGAAACGGGAGAGAGGCTGAGCCCTACATGCAAAGCCTAATTCCCTCTGTGATGCCCCAAGTCTTACCTGTCCCCCAGGCCAGGGATGCCAACCAACTGGATGACATAGATCCCTATTTGACAAAAAAATACAAAGAAGAACACGAAGAAACTGAAAGAGTTGTCGGACCTGTAGAGAGAGAGAGGGAAAAAGAAGTCACAAAAGGTCTTGGGCCATGCTCCTCAGCATTTCTTACTTGGGGACATCTCTCCTTACCAGGAGCCAGGAGGCATGATAGGCAAGGGAAAGAGCCTCAGGGGACCAGCCACACTGTCCGTAAGGACACACACATGGACATGTGCCACCATAGTCAAGAAGGGCTTGCCCTTCACTGCCCTCCAGTTTAAAGAGTCAGTGTTCGACCCCTCTTCAAAGAGCTGATAAAGTTGCTTCCCCAAAAGACAGCATAAAAACCAACCACTCCCTCTACCAGAGTGCTTATTTGCATTTCGTAACAGGCAAGAAACTCTAAGTCAAAGGCGTAAATCTCTAATAATAAAACTGTACACCTGGGTGGAAAAAAAGATATTCAGGGACTAGGGAACACAGGACAGAAGTCCTCAAGGGCTGAGCCCCTCCACCTCTGTCCTACAGCAGAGTACAGTGGGGGTGCAGCGCCTACCCCACCCCCTTCCCTTTCCCCTTCCTGCCCTGAAAGCATCAATCCTCAGGGACAATTCCAAAATCCCCAGGGTCTGTAAGGGTCTCCATTGATGCTAACAGTACCTGTTCTAAGTGTTGGTGAGACTAGTATCGACATCGTCCTGAGTATGGGCGGGTGCCCGAGTTATCAAGGAGCATAAATAAGGACAGATGAGCCACTGAGAGCACCTGACACCCTCTGAGAAGCACACCTCAGAGCTGCAGAAGGGGGCTTCCTAAAGAGGGTCCCCTCCCTCTTCCCAGTAATGGAAATGCCATGGCACCAGCCAGACTGGGGCAGTGGGATGGCAGGTAAGGCTTCTTATCCCATCTGCTCTGGCTATGGGGGAGAATGGGAAAGTGCGTTTCTCTGCCATTCTATTCTGCTCGAAGACTAGGGCAGGGCCTAAGGGCCCACAGCCCTTAGCCTGCTAGCTGGGATGCAAGCCAAACACTCGCCCCTTGCCCCAGCCCCACTTACCTAAAGGCCTTATAGATGGGTCGGTACCAACAAAGGAAGGCACAGGGGGTGAAGATGACAAACCATAGGATCGAGAGGCCAAAGTCCACTCCCCTGGAGCTGTTGCCTGAGAACCAGGCCATGCAGGCAAGCAGGTTCAGAAATAGAGTCACGGAATGCACTGGGGAAGGGAAGAGGGGAGAGATATGGCTGTGCCAAGGCGGCTGACGGGCTCCCCAACATCTCTCCCTAGGAGAGGTGAGGTCCATGCTGTCAGGGCAGCTGCAGAAATAGAGAACCTTGGTCTGCACCTAGGCAGGGTTAGTTCCCAAATCCTAGTTTTCTGGGATCTCAAAACCAGGGATCCATCTAAGTTCCCAAGAGGTGATGGGACAGTCCAGGCATTTGGGGGGGTGGGAGGGGAAGAGGGCTGCAGACCCAGGGCTGATCCTTGGGGAATGGAGTCTTTCTCTCAGCAAGTCTTCTCCCTGGCCCTGGATGGCCCACAGTGGAGCTACAGGGAGCATCTTCTTCCCTGTCCCCTTGGGGCCTGTCGGGAGGGGAGGCCTTCAGCTGAGGAGGGCCTTTTAGTGTAGTGATCTCCACAGGGACTTAGAAGTCTCTGGCTAGTCCCACACCGCCTGATCTGTGGTCTGGACTGTCCCTTTCGAGGAGGTTCTCAGACATGGAGTAGCCGGTGGGCAGACGGCACCTCCCCAAGCCAGCGCAGGCACTGAGGAAGGGTGGGGTCTGCACAGGGCAGCCGGAGCAGAGATGTGGCTCGCAAGTCTTGCCCATTTCCCCTGTAAGCTCAGAGGGCAGGCTGGGACTCACACATCCAGAGATAGTAGAGCATCTTGCATATCCGCTGGTAGTCGGCAGGGATCTCGGTGGAGAAATCCTGGTAGAAGCAGGGCTTGACAGGGCACCATGAGGGCAGTGGTGGCCAGTTGTTCTCTCTCACTGTGTGGAAAGAACAAAGAACAACAAGGTGAGGGCCCAGCCTCAGAAGCAGTATTGGCCGGGGACAGTGGCTCACACCTGGAATCCCAAAACTTAGGGAGGCCCAGGCAGGAGCTTCGCTTGAGGCCAGAAGTTTGAGACCAGCCTGAGCAACATAGCGAGACCCTGTCTCTATAAAAAATAAGAAAAATTAGCCAGACTTCATGGTATGCACCTATACTCCTAGCTACCCAAGAGGCTGAGGCAGGAGGATCACTAGAGCCTAGGAATTCAAGGTTATAGTGAGCTATGATTGCTCCACTACACTCCAGCCTGGGCAACGTAATGAGAGCCTGTGTCTAAAAAGAGAAAAAAAGGCCGGGCGCGGTGGCTCATGCCTGTAATCCTAGCACTCTGGGAGGCCGAGGAGGGTGGATTGCTCAAGGTCAGGAGTTCGAAACCAGCCTGAGCGAGACCCCATCTTTACTAAAAATAGAAACTAGGCTGGGCGCGGTGGCTCACGCCTGTAATCCTAGCACTTTGGGAGGCGGAGGTGGGCAGATTGCTCGAGGTCAGGAGTTCAAAACCAGCCTGAGCAAGAGCGAGACCCCGTCTCTAACTATAAATAGAAAGAAATTAATTGGCCAACTAATATATATAGAAAAAAAAAAATCAGCCGGGGATAGTGGTGCTTGCCTGTAGTCCCAGCTACTCGGGAGGCTGAGGCAGCAGGATCGCTTGAGCTCAGGAGTTTGAGGTTGCTGTGAGCTAGGCTGACGCCACGGCACTCACTCTAGCCTGGGCAACAAAGTGAGACTCTGTCTCAAAAAAAAGGACTAATTGACCAACTAAAAATATATATACAAAAAATTAGCTGGGCATGGTGGCGCATGCCTGTAGTCCCAGCTACTGGGGAGGCTGAGGCAGAAGGATAGCTTGAGCCCAGGAGATTGAGGTTGCTGTGAGCTAGGCTGACGCCACGGCACTCACTCTAGCCTGAGCAACAAAGTGAGACTCTGTCTCAAAAATATAAAAAGAGAAAAAAGAAAGCAGTACCAGCATCAAGGAGTGCACCCACACTAGCAGTTTATGGCCCAAACCAGGGCTTCAGAGCAGTTCCAGCAACCTGGGCTTGGGCGTGTATAGAGCATGGTATGGAATGGAAAAGGATAATGGGACCCAAAGAGACACCCAGAAGCTCACTCCAAGATAATGGACCCCAAATGCACTGGGAAATACAGAGAGCTGAACAGCCTAAGTGATTATTTTTAACAACTAGCCCATAAGTGTGACAACTCAGGTCATCATCATGAAAAAGGAATTGGGAGACCAATGCCCTTATGCTATCAAACAGCTTAGAGCTGAAAGGAGTGCAGAGAGAATCCACATCCATTAGAACCACACTGCAGGCCTCCTGACTTGCAACTTACTGCTCTCCCCTGGGACTGACACCCTTTTGAGATGATCGAGCTCCACAGAGCTCCCAGGCTGCCCAGGAAGCAGGCGGCCAGGGTGAGTGCAGGGAGGGCCCAACGTGCAGGGCTCAGCACACTCTCCTGTGCCAGGCAGGGCGGCCCCAGGCCCTAGCAGCCTCACTTACCATGCAAGTTGGCCACAGTGTTCTGTAGCTCCCGCTCCTTGCGTTCAAGCTCGGCAGCTTTTCTGTCCAGTTCTTCCTGTTGCCGAAGCAGGCCTGCCTGGGCTGCAGATGCCACGGCCTAGAGGGAAGAGGGGAGGCAGCCGGACACAAGAAAGAGTGTCAGCCCGGGCAGGCAGGAAGAAAGGCCTCACCCCAGGGAGGGGAAGCCAGCAGGGCATCCCAGATGCAGTCCCTGTCCACAGAGTGTCTAGGCTTCCAGAAGCCACCAAAGAGAGGCTAAGAGGACCTATGTCCCACTGCTCCCACACCACTCTGGCCTCTTGGCCATTACCAGGCTCTCCTCTCCCCTCATCCCTAAACTTGAGCTAGGAAAACCAGGCCCAGTGGCTTCCCCTCCCCTTCCCACACTGCAATCCTGGCAGAGTTCAGTGAGAGTGAGCTTTGGTGACAATGGCAAAGGGGAAAAGACTTCACAAGAGACTAACCTGTACTCAGAGACCCGAGCCTCATTCGAAGAGCCGGGTGCGTGTGTGAAGGGGGACAGTGCGCCAGCAGTGAGCACAGCCCGGGACCGGGATCGGTATGAGCTCCTGCCCCTGCTCTGTCCAGGAGCTGCCTCCCAGGTTCCCCCTGAACTGTAACTCGCTATAGCCCAGGACAGCCCCTTACGCGTGGCCCTGCACACTGGCTTGTCCGGCATGCAGAGTCCAAGCTCATCTCCGCTTCAGGCAGAGCAGGGTCCCTGAGTGAGGCAGTGAGGGGACTATTACGTGTGGCTGAGCAGACCTGGGGCAGAACCCTGCTCCTGCTGGCCACTGCCACTGTTTGGACCAAGTTCCTCCTAGAGAATAAGATTACAGTCCTTTTTTAGGGAGCAGGTATCAAGCTGGTCATCTTGTAAGATGACAAACCAGGTGTGTTTGTGTGTACACACGTACACGCACCCGCACACAAACCTCTCCCAAAGGAGTTATCCAAAGACCTACGGTTGCCTTCAGGAGGTGAGTTGCAGACACTGGGGGCAGAAGCAGGAGCAGAAGTGACCACGCTGGGCGTCTCAGCCTCCTCTCCCCAGTCTGCGACTTTAGTTGAGTGGGCCCCAGACCCCCACAGCCCACCACCCAGCTGAGTGTAAAGGCAGTCCTGCACATCAGGCCGGCCTCACCTGCACAGGTTCTAGGGCCTGGGAGAGGCAAGGCTCCAGGCACCTGCCCTCCCCATGCTCATCTACACTTGGCCTACCTGTGGAAGCTTTCGCATGTAGCTGTCTCTGAGAATACTATCTCCGCCTAGTAGCATCTGCCTCTCTGAGAACTCGCTCACTGCCAGGAATCGAGTAGGCAGGAACTTGCTGGCCTGTCTAAGCAGGGGCTGCAACACACAACTCCACTGTGGGTCCCGCTCATGGGGGGCTGCGAGGAGCGTGGGGTGGGGCGGGGTGGGGCAGTGAGGCAGGTAAGACTCACCGTATTTGGTGAATGGGGAAGGGAAATAGGAAGGGAGGTAGGAATTAGTAAGGTTAAAAAAAAGAGATTCAGGTCCCCAAGGGAGAGAGAATAAGCCAAAGACCCGATGAGGACCCGGAGGGGCACAGCAAGGAGAAATGCTGTCTCTGGAGACACCAAGGGCCCTGGCCTGCTAGAGCTTATTTTTTGGTGGTGGCGGTGGGGTGAGGATATCAGAGCAGCCTCTCCGCTCACGAGTGACTAGCTCCAAAAGGATTGGCCCCTGGAAGTGGAGCCAGGGATGAAGGCTCTCTACCCGCCCCCAAGCCTCAGGGCCCAGCTACTGGTCCGGGTGACTCCCTCACTGATAGGAGAGGCCAAAGGGTTCCTCGTCAGCCGTACCTGGGGGGTTGGCTGTGTTGGTTCCACTGAGGGCTGGAGAACCGCCGGCTGTGAGGGCCCAGGGAGTTGTGTGACAGGAACCGGAACCGTTGTCGCTGCATTTGTCTGCGTGGGACAGACAAAAGGAAGGAAGGGACTGGGACGCCACTGGTTGGCAAGCAGGAGCAAACCCACAGCAGAGTCAGTGAGGGCCCTCCCTCTGGGCCCGCACTGCGCCTTCCGCTGCAGCTTCTCAGCCCACGTGCCTCAAGTTCACGGTGCTATGACCCAGCACCCCTGGCCTCCTCAGGAAGGGGCCAAGACCATGGATGCAAAGAGAACTTCAGAGAGGCTTTGGTGACTTTCCCATCCTCACCCCACCCCGAGGAGTTCAGGTTAGATCGTCTCTGAAGACTCAGCTTCCCAGAGCTGCTCCTGTCTGTGCCAAGGCTCCTTGCCCCAGAGCCCAGCACCAGCCCAGAGGAACCCTGCACGCAGAAGGAAGGCATGCTCACCAACCTCTGAGAAGGGGTTGAATTCAGCCAGGCCACCCTGCGGGGCATTGGTCAGCTGGGTCACAGAGGGGTCCTGAGAAGGTGAAAAAGAGCCATTAGACACCGAGGAGAGGAGAGAACGCTGGTTCAAGTAAGGCTGCAGTGCCCCGCCCAGCCCTGAGAAGCTTCTCCCGAAGGCTCCTGTGCCCACCCTGCCGCGCCACAGCTGCAGTCCCTCTCCCTTCTGGAAAAGGTTCAGCCCCACTGACTTTCCAGAAGAGACCCAGTTTACACCTGAGGCCTCAGCACAGACACCACACAGGTTCTTGTTAGTGGCCCATACAGATTCAAAATGGTTCCTAATATTTACCTCCAGGGAGTGGCTTGTTCTTTTTTTTGGGGGGGAGGCAGGTGAATGGAGTGGTAAGGGTAGAGACTGCCTCTTCAGTGTATAGCCTTTCTGTACTGCTTTGTTATTCTACAGAAAGCATTTAATTCCTCTTATTTTTATTATGTGTTATTTTTAAATTTTTTTTCTAATGCCACAAAATCCTAATATTTATTTATTTTTGAGACAGGGTCTCACTCTGTCATCTAGGCTGGAGTGTCGTGGCCTCATCATAGCTCACTATAACCTCAAATCCCTGGGTAGCTGGGACTACAGGCGCAAGCCACCATGTCCAGCTAATTTTTTTCTATTTTTAGTAAAGACGGGGTCTCACTCTTGCTCAGGCTGGTCTCAAACTCCTGAGCTCAAGTGATCCTCCAGCCTTGGCCTCCTACAGTGCTAGGATTACAGGCATGAGCACCAAGCCTAGCCCTTCTTCTTCTTCTTCTTTTTTTTTGAGACAGAGTCTCACTTTGTTGCCCAGGCTAGAGTGCCCTGGCATTAGCCTAGCTCACAGCAACCTCAAACTCCTGGGCTCAAGCGATCCTTCTGCCTCAGCCTCCTGGGTAGCTGGGACTACAGGCATGCGCCACCATGTTTGGCTAATTTTTTCTGTATACTTTTTGTTGGCCAATTAATTTCTTTCTATTTTTAGTAGAGATGGGGTCTCACTCTTGCTCAGGCTGGTTTTGACCTCCTGACCTTGAGTGATCCTCCTGCCTCGGCCTTCCAGAGTGCCAGGATTACAGGCGTGCGCCAATGCACCCAGCTCCTTCCTCTTATTTTTAAAAGGACAGTCTAAGGTTTTAGAACAAAGACATGCTGCTGGCTACCAGTACCGATTTATTAAATTTATTAATCAGCATACTTGCTAGGAGCAGAGGTATGAAGGGCTCAGATGAAAAGCCAAGAAAATGTTTTTGGTGGGTTTTTTTCTTTTTAGAAAATGCAAGAATGTCCTCAGTACACAGCCTTGTCATGAGTTTTCAATAGTCCCTTTCCCATCTAATCTCTGCATGGGGCTCCCACCATCCCCTTGCCCAAGTGGCCCCCTGCTGGCCTGGGGCAGCCCATCTTCACCCTACCCCAACTCCATCCTGGAAACAGGTGCAGGCCTCAGCTCCAGGGCCACACCCAGGCTCTGGAAGGAACAGCTGTGAGGGTGGCCAATCTGCTCCTGCCCAAGTCCCTGCACCTCAGCCTCGCCCTGTCCTTCAGGCCCAGCCTCCCCTCCACCGAGGCAATTCTTAAACACAATGCTAACATTAAACAGACCCTCGGAGAGTGACCCCTAAATTTACAGATGTAGAATATGACTATGGTGACAGAACTTGTCCTAGGTCTCAAAAGAGGAGCTCAATTATTCTGAATAAGGAGGAGCTCCTTATTCTGAACATCTATAGAGTTGGAGGTTGGTAATGAATGTCTTTTCTCACAGATTTTATGTATGTGTTTTTATCACAGCTTTATCACAGATACTGACTCTTATCTTCCCACCTGGGCCACAAGTTTGTAGGTGACTCTGTGTCCTACCACCACTGAGACCTTGCCCAGAGCTAGGAACACAGCTAGAACTCGCTCTGTGTCTCTGGATAAACCTTATCCTATGCAAGCTCCCCCACCAACCTTCTCTGCAAAACAGACTGCGGCTATGTCCTTTCTGCTAGACACCACCTCTGCTCTGGCAGCTCCTGCAACTTGGACAAAGTGACAAAGTGAGGTTCAGGAGGCTACCTGATGCTGCAGGCACTGGCCCTGAGGTCATTTCATGGCTGAACAACCAGTAGTTCTCTCCCAGTATTACCCGGCTTCCTGCAAGGAGGATCTGGGGCTTAGTACCTGTTCCCCTTTCAGACTCAGCAAACACCTAGCCATAGCTGAGAGAGAGAGCTGAGGTCAGTGAAAGGAGATTCACCATCCACAGAACTGGTTACTCGAGTCTGAGTCACCAAGAACAGAGGAACAGAGTGGCAGCTCTGGTAGCAGTTTCAGGTGCTAGCATAAATACACCTGGCCAAGGCATACATGTTTAATAGGTCACCTCCAGACCCATAGAGAGATACCATTTCCTTTACCAATGGCAGAAAGAAGGGGATTCTGGGGGTGCAATGGAGATGGCAGGGGTGACAACTCTGTCCATTCTGATCCTTCCTCTTTCTCCTAAACTCTTAACCTGGCCCTTGGACCCCTCACCAGGCTCATCATTAACAGATCCTGTCTCCACTAGTATGCTGGAAACTCTTTGCAGCCAACTGCATCTGTGTCCAGTCCGTACTTTAGTCCCTGGTGCTCGGAGAAGGGCCTGAGGCAGAGCAGCAGCTCCGTGAGTGTTGAGAATACACGCAGCACAACGCCAGCCTGCTCCGGAAGCACGGCCCACATGCTAGGCTGTACAGGAACCGGGGCACCTGCACCACAGCAGCAGCCCGAAGCACCTTGCCTGGAAAGAGGAACCTAAAATACTCTGTGACACATGGGCCTTTCCCCTCTGAGGAAACAGGCTCCTCTGAAAGATGTGGGTGGCTTTAAGAGAAGCTGAGGCCTGGCAAGAAAGGGAGGAAGGAGGAGGGAGTGGGGAAGAGAGCTGACATTTACTGAGTGTCTGCTATGTGCCAAACCACACAATGATGCTGTTGTGAGATTCTTATCACCCTAGTGGCTCACACCTGCAATTCTAGCACTCTGGGAGGCAGACGCAAGAGGATCCCTTGAGGTCAGGGCTTTGAGACCGGCCTAAGCAAGAGCGAGACCCCATCTCTACAAAAAATAGAAAAAATTAGCCAGGCATGGTGGTGCATGCCTGTAGTCCCAGCTACGCAGGAGGCTGAGGCAGGAGGATCACTTGAGCCCAAGAGTTTGAGGTGGCTGTGAGCTAGGCTGATGCCACGGCACTCACTCTAGTCCAGGCAACGGAGTGAGACGCTGTCTCAAAAAAAAAAAAAGGTTGAATAAATAGGCTCCACCACAAAAGGACTCTGACAAGGGCTTCTGCTTGTTTCCTGAGTTTGAAAAGCTAATTCTTGGGGAACACCCTTGGCAAAATAAATATATACAGAAAGTCTTTCCAGCAAGGACCACACTGACCAGCCTTAGTGAGGACCATCAGCTTTTACTCCAAGTCACAAATAGAAAGTCAACAGCATCAACCTCCTTTCCCCTCACCAAGCATCAACTGGCTTTTAAGTGGGTCAAGTAAATTTTTTTTTTTTTTGGAGACAGAGTCTCACTCCGTTGCCTGGGCTAGAGTACCATGGCGTCAGCCTAGCTCACAGCAACCTCAAACTCCTGGGCTCAAGCGATCTTTCTGCCTCAGCCTCCTGAGTAGCTGGGACTACGGGCATGTGCCACCATGCCCAGCAAATTTTTTCTATATATTTTTAGTTGTCCAGCTAATTTCTTTCTGTTTTTGGTGGAGACAGGGTCTCACTCTTGCTCAGGCTGGTCTCACACTCCAGACCTCAAGCGATCTTTCCACCTCGGCCTCCTAGAGTGTTAGGATTACAGGCATGCACCACCGTGCCCAGCCTGGGTCAAGTAATTTAAAAGGATGGTAAGGGCTGAGTTTCACCTATAAAGGAGTAACCTAAAACCCCCTCAGTCCCACTCAGAATGGCTAATGTCCTTCACTGAATTTATAACCAATAAAAAGCTCTTAAACTCTGTTCTTTTCTCATTCAGTAGTTACAGTGTGAGCAACATGCCAAAATGAGCAGGACACACCTCCTGCCCTCCTGGAGTCTGCAATTGGTACCTAGCACGAGTACATACACCCAAAGAGCATGCTAGGGACCACAGCAAGGTTCAGAGACACAACAGGAGGGAGGGAACACATCCTGCAGGGCTTCGGGAAGGCCAAGTCACAGGAGGAAGGAGGAAGACAAGCAAAGGTGGGTCAGCAAGGCCCGCGGCTGCTGCAGGGCAGGGGGACGTTTGGGGGCAGCTGGAGCGTGAGGGTACCAAGACCAGAGGGGCAGGCCAGGTCACGCTGTGGCTCTAGCGTGAAGGGCCATGAAAAACACACTTGTTTGCATTGGTTCGGAAATCTCTTTCCACTCGTTTCACAGGTCCCGGCTATGCCTGAGCTCTGCGACTTTTCCTTGCTTTCCCATCCTGTACTCCACCCAAACACCCAGTGTTAGGTTTATTTAAGGCTTCAAATAAACACGTTAAATAAATACCTCATGGACTGAAAAAACTTAGGGCCGTTCTCTCTAGGAGGCAGAGAGTCACCAACACTTTGGAACCTCTGTGATGTTCTATTTGCTTTGGAGATGCGGCTGTGTGTCACAGAACAAGAAAAGGCAATCATCCCCAGAGTGGTTGGCTGGGTCCTAGGTGCACAGAGAGCCACACTGACGTTGGTTGCTAGCTGACCTGGAAGCTGAGAATCAATCCTCAGGAAATACGACAGAAGCACGTAAAAGTCTGTGCCTGCAATGATACTCACTGCAGCAGGATTTACAATAGGAGAAAAAAGCAGAAAACAAATGTCCAATATCAGAGAGCACAAGTATGTTTTTGGTGCACACTCCCCTTGAAAACCTAAATAGCAATTAAAAACCACAGCTAGACAGCTGTGATGGCGCATGCCTAGAGTCCCAGCTACTCGGGAGGCTGAGACAGAGGATGACTTGAGCACAGGAGTTGTAGACCAGCCTGCAACATAGCCAGTCCCTGTCTCTCTTAACAACAACAACAAAAAAATC